AGTAAATTGTTAAATTGAATGTGGTTAAAATTGTCACACTCTTTCTAATTTTTATAGGTGTGTGTGTGTGCATGCATGAATCAATGCTAAAATCACATGCCTTACTTGTAATATTGAGGTCAACAGTTCAAGGTCATAAACCCGGTAATTATTCATCTTGGTCGAGGGACGTGACCCTATTATAACGTTTTTGGATTTGTTGAAAACATGTGTGTACTCTTTGATTTGACAAGTACATTAGAAGGACATTTTATAACAAACAAAATAACATTTCAGTTTGGTAAATTTCAGTTCAGGATGTGATTAACTCTATTATTAACGAGTAGATCTACTGCCTGCCTCACTCCTATTGTAAAGAAGAGTACTGCATGCTCCTTCCACACTTGGGGGTTCTCACTGCCAAGATCTCTCTTCTGATTGGATGTTTCTCGGTGCCAAATTGAATTGTTCCTAATCAAAATCCAGTTATATAGTGTCTCCTGGTACATAAAGCCTGCCACCCCATGTTGTATCATAGGATCTTCCGTTTCATTGTTTTAGACATTTTTGTTTTAGTAGGGAGATTTATGAGGAGTAGAGATTATTTGGTTAGGATTTTTTTACCAGTTCCATTCTTGCCAACTCTCCCTTTTTAGAAGGGAGACTCCTGATTTTGGGCACAAAAATTTAGCATTTTCAACCAGTGAATTTGCTTAAAAAAGATCTGATGATTTCATCTGAAAGAACAGCTCAAAAGATGCCATTTAAAAGTGTATATTTTCTCTAGGGTGAACATACCCTCATTTTATTTATGCTTTTAATTCTGAGAACGTGTAATCTCCGCCATGGACATTTCAAATAGTTGGCAAGTATGAGTTCATACATAAGGTCAAATTACAGGTAGAATTTAAAAGAAAATGTATTTATGTCTTTCTTTAAAATCAAACAATGTCTAGCAGTTTTATGTTTAAGCCATAATTATGTTGTGATAATTATAATTTTAAACCTTGTTCAAAGAAAGATTTGTTTTTATGCTTGAATTTTAAAGTAAATACAAGAAAATTAAGGACAGGGTACCCTGATAATTATATTGCAAATTTTTGATTTTTCTTGAAACACAAAATTCATTTCACTGAATCACTTGGTTAACAAATTGCTGTGAGTCATGAAACACATCGGATGCCACATTTGACAATAGGAGTTCAAGGCCATATAGAGAAGAAAGTACAAGCCTGTAATGCCGATGAAAGAGTGGCTTCCCTTATCTGGCTGTGACAGGTTTGTTAACTGATTCACCCCTGAAGACACATTTAAACTCTTCCAATTGACAGGTTGGAATTGTTCATTATGAAATTTCAGGGGTGCATGAGTTAAATGCAGAATCAACACTGCACATTAAGATACACTGTTGCTGCCCAAGATGTATCTCAAATCTGAAAATTTACAGGAGATTTATAAACACATCGCTGGTATATCAGTAAGACAAATTAAGGGGCAATATATTGGATTGTTGCTGTTTTTCATGAAAATTAGTAAATAATCAGAATTGATGAGATTTTCAATGTTTTTAGGAGAAATTGAAACTAAAGTTTTCATTATACAAAGCTATTTGTATGAAAGTTTGTCTGAGAAATTTCAAATTTGTTTACGTGTTTTAATGCTGAAATGGATTTAAAGGTCTTTCGAAATCCTGCAACATTTAATGCCGTAGAATCATTGAATCAATTGACATTTCTGTAGATTTCTGGGATCGTATTTGAAACGACTGTGACATAAATCTAGACCTCCAGGAGGCTTAAGAGATGTAATGGACTGTAAGCAATTAAATCTAGGATATACTACAGTAACCATCGGCGATGTCTCCGATAGCTCATCCAAGGCGGGGTTAACAGACTGCCGAGCCCCCAATAGATAATCTACTACAGCTTACGAGGAGGTAATGTTTGAGGTAGATTATCCGAGGGGAGTTTTTGTTATTAAGCTTTCGTTTAAGGTAAAATTGACAGATCAATATTTACACAAACGCTCGTAAACCATACTAGAATACCATTAAATCAAATCAGAATCTCAGTCAGAGGAAACAACGGATCACACAGGACAGTGAAGGGGTACATTATCTGTAATAAAATCAAACTGGCGGCGAGTTTTCTTTCCAAGAGACTTTTCATGTTTCTGCCATGACCATTCTCTGCGATAGACAATTTTCTGCGGGTGAGATCTCAGCAGGGCAAAGAGCCTTTAGTTTGTGATATAATTAAAAACCAATCCTGAATTGCTAGAAGAGTGTCAAATAGAAAGAGTAACAGGCATAGAGCTCAACACATTTTTGTTTGACATTAAGATTGTGTTGTTTACTCATTCACCACTGAAATTTCATAACAAACTTTTCCAACCTTTGAATTGGAAGAGTTCAAATGTGTCTTCGGGGGTTAATGAGTTAATGTAAGCATTAATTTGATCATTAACTCATTCACCCCTGAAATTTCATAATGAACTATTCCAACGTTTGAATTAGAAGAGTTCAAATGTGTCTTCAGGGGTGAATGAGTTAATGTAAGCATTTTGATCATTAACTTTCCAACTTATTGCAATCTGCATTCTTTCATTAAATACACCCTGCATCACTTTGTTTTCGATCTGCAGAACTGATTCAAGAGCAAGTGTGACTAATCAAAGTTATATACTATAGAAAAAGCCCATTTATAATATCTGTTGGTGATTTTCTTAATTTCGGATAGGGAATTTTCGTTCTGTTACCTGAAGACAATTTTGTAAATATTGTATAGGTTTGTTAATGTGTTTGTCTAATTACAGATTCTTGTCTCTAAAAGTTTTACATCTGAAATGATTTTCTGGTAACAATAATATAACGAGTGAATTGATACAATAATCAAGTCATTGGCTTTTCACGTGGCTAGATTTCTTTCTTTTCTATCTACTTTCTCTTTCTGACGGTGTCTCTCTCTGTAAGGCACCCGACCTCACATGACCCTGACAGTGTCTCTCTCTGTAAGGCACCCGTCCTCACATGACCCTGACTGTTGTCTGTCTTTGTAAGGCACCCGTCTTCACATGACCCTGACTATTGTCTTTCTCTGTAAGGCACCCGTCCTCACATGACCCTGACTGTTGTCTCTCTTTGTAAGGCACCCGTCCTCACATGACCCTGACTATTGTCTCTCTCTGTAAGGCACCCGTCCTCACATGACCCTGTCTGTTGTCTCTCTTTGTAAGGCACCCGACCTCACATGACCCTGACTGTTGTCTCTCTCTGTAAGGCACCCGTCCTCACATGACCCTGACTGTGTCTCTCTCTGTAAGGCACCCATCCTCACATGACCCTGACTGTGTCTCTCTCTGTAAGGCTCCTGTCCTCACATGACCCTGACTGTGTCTCACCCTGTAAGGCACCAGACCTCACATGACCCTGACGGTGTCTCTTTCTGTAAGGCACCTGTCCTCACATGACCCTGACTGTTGTGAGGTCGTTAAACCGCATATACACAAACAAAATCTATATGTAGCCAGCCATAGTTCAGTTCTCTGAGTATCATGGCATACAGATACATTTTATTTCAAACCACTTTATATTTTTTAAGCTCTTCGGGGCTCCTTGTTTTTTTAATCGGCTATAAGCAGGTTGGGTCAATTTTGTGAAGTAGAAATATAGGAATTACAATGAAACCAGAGACTCTGATTGGCCATTGAAGTTATAGGCTCAATTCTGATTGGTCAGGGCATTTATATCACATTGCCAGTAACGGAATTAGTCTAACAGTCGAGCAGAGTTGAGGGTTGACATTGCACAACATCATCACCATTAACTTTTCATACTTTGGTTTAATGGTTAAAACTATATTTTATTAGTATAGTCCAATGGAAATATACCGTGTAACTGAAAATCCATCACCAAACTATTTGAATCTTGTTAACTACCCCCTCCCCTTCTCCCCGCCCCCCACACATACGTAGTGGAAGGAGGGGGAGGGGGAGTGCGTTTATTATAGTCACTTTGTCAGTCTATCTGTCCATATGACAGCATCAGTCAGTCTGTCCATTCATCCATCCATAATAAAAAAGCTTGTGTACAAGATGTAACATGAACTGCTCGACACATTTAGTTCATGTTTATTCATATTTACACCCTAGTATGATAACACTTGAGTTCTACCTAAATCTAATTAGATTTTGATGGTCAGGGTCAAAGGTCAAAGTTCATGGACATAGCAACTGTCTGTTAAAGCTTGTGTACACATTTAAAACATTTAGTTCATATTCACATCATACATAAGTATGGTAATAATGAGCTGTACACCTGATTAAATTTTGGTCATCATTAAAGGTTAAAGGGTCAAAGGTCACATGTAAAGCTGGATAGAGTCTGAAGAATAAAAATGGTGGTTGGGTATATCTATGTGAGCCTCCACTCACATTGTTCGTATTTTCAATGTTTTGATGAAAATTTATATGCACTATAAAATGATTAAGTGGTATTGAAAGTGACTTGGGCTGTATTAATGCTGACGTATGAAGTAAAACCTGCTCGTACTTCAATACAGGGGCCGTGTAAGTACACAGGATAAAATGTCTGGCAGTCAGATCTAGGGAAGCCAGATAGAGAAATTGTGTTTTGGTTTCCCTAATGTATTTAGCTGACCATGGTGGAATACAGCAAGGCATGGTGTTAACTCAAGCTACTGATAGAGGTATCAGCTTTACCGTACTGCCCGTGTCCTTGGCTCTGGTGGCCATTATAATTTAATTACGTATGTAGAATCTGAAATAATCTGGTCAGGAGGTATTAGGGCTGTATGCTACCTTACCATTAGATGAATCTCTATTTCAGAACAGTTTCAAAATGAATATATGGCTCAATTCAAGCTAGATAACTTTTTTTACAGCAGCTGCATGTTGTTGTTGAGAACAATATTCAGACTTGTTACCATCATCGAGTTGAATTGTAACAACCCTCCATTGTTCAAAGAGAATCTTGTATTTTATTATTTTTCTGTTGCTTGTAGCAGTCAAGCCAACAAAATGACCCCCTGGACCCAGCTAATGCTGTGACAGAAAAGATGATGAAGTTAGCCCTCATCATAGACCACGCTACAGTAAGTAACAGGTTTAAGGATGTATGCTACCTTAGTGTGAAATGAACCTCCATTCAATAAGATTTCCCCTATAAACCCTCCCTCAACCAAACCTGTTAAATATCTTTTTTTATTGTACGGTTATTTGGTCTTTAAGAAGGTACAAAGGCAATAAAAGATTAAGGGAGATAACTCTAACACAAATCACAGGTATAATGTATATGGTACCATATATCCTTCATTGAGAAAACTGGTATCACTTATCACATGTATAATGAATATGGTACCATATATCCTTCATTGAGAAAACTAGTATCACTTATCACATGTATAATGATAAAGGTACCATACAGTCATAAGGAAGATAACTCTAACACAAATCACAGGCACAGGTACAATATGTGTGATGTGTATACATGGTAACAGTTATCAGTAAATGGCTAGCACATGAGCTAAGAATCATGTATGGTCTGTTTAATTACTTACAAAATTTACTGCACTTTGAAAATGTGTTAGACAATGATTTCACCAGTAAGTTCCTACTCTAAGGTGTGTGTATATATATCTAGGTCCCGCTCAAGGTGTCGGAGAAAAGTTGTGCGAACAGAAAAGTTTGTTTTTTATCAAGGAGTCACCTGTGTTTTGTGATTTAATCTTAACACAAATTAAGAATAGGTGTCAATCGCAACAAGCTCGGGATCAGTTGAATTTTCTGTATTAACACAAATTATTTTCAACCTCTTTCGATAAAATTCTCTCACACTTAAGATATATAGTGCTGGCATGTTAAATATTTGTCAGTATTTCCAAAGAAATCTAACTAATATCATTTTGTCTTCCAGTGCAACCAGCTCAACTTCAGTTTCAGTGAGATGGTCACGTACACCATACAGATAGCCAATATGGTGGACTTGGTAAGTACACCATTGTGATATGGTCAATAATGGTTATTTTCTTTCGGCTTGTCCAAAATACCACCCATCTAGCACCTCCCGAACGTAACAGTTTGCAGGGTGGAGCTATTGATGTTCAGAATAAAACTGAAACAGTAGAGAACTAAAATGTCATATTCCCATCAAAACTCAAAAACCCTTTAGTGTACACATCTTAATACAATTGTTATTTGCAAAACTCAAATAACTTTTCGATATTACTGCTGGATTTAGCATTACTTGGTATTCCAATGTTATATAGAAACACTTTTTTATCATGTACATTAAATATTTTTCTTTCAATCATGTTTCCAGTATTACAAGGAAATAGGAATGAGGACGCCTATAGTTTACTTGGAACACTGGAACCAGGGGGACAAATTAGCCATTACACCGAGCCTCAGGAAAAACCTAGATCAGATCCTAATGTACAAGGGGAGAGAACTCGCTCAGATAGAACATGATGGAACACACCTGCTTGTGTAAGTCTGTCAGGAGGAGATGCTATCTAGAAGGAGAAAAGTTCACTTTTATAGATTTTGAAGTAGTGAAAAATTATATCCCTTTATTAATTCTCTGATATTCAACACTCATATATACCAAAGGTCGGCTAGCAACAAATATCAGCCCAGTGACAACTGAACTACAAAACTCATGTCCATTGATAAATTAACTACAAAACTCATACCCACTACAAAACTCATGTCCATTGATAAATTAACTACAAAACTCATACCCACTACAACACTCATGTCCATTGATAAATTAACTACAAAACTCATACCCACTACAACACTCATGTCCATTGATAAATTAACTACAAAACTATTACCACGTGATAACTTACCAGTGGTAACTGCACAACTCCTGCCCAGTAACTGTTTAAAAACAAAACTCATTCACCCCTGAAATTTCATAATGAACTATTCCAACCTTTGAATTGGAAGAGTGCAAATGTGTCTTCAGGGATGAATGCGTTAACTACGAAATTCTGAATGCCCGGTAACTACTGTACTACAGAAGTCCTGCCCAATTAGCTATTAATTGTCTATACTCGACATATGTTTATACCATATTGAAGCCTCCAGTCTTACAGCATTGTTTATTCTTGTCTACAGTGGAGAAGAACTAGAGGATAATTCTATAGGGATGGCCATTCCGGACTCTGTGTGTACTAACAGGGCTGTCGGGATCAGTAAGGTAAACGTTACTCTCCGTCTTCTCTCTGTACTAGTGATGATATTTGCTGAATTAAGATCTTTTGTATGAATAAATAGGTAAATGTTTAATTCTCTTTTCACTTTATTCATGTATGTAGTGTTATTTTCAAGTTGCCATTACTTTTGAAAAATTCGCACTAAGATTGAACATGATGGAACGTAACAGAACTAAGACAGCTTTTTTGTAATTTCTCGATACAAAAATAATGGCACTCAAAGTTAACGATGCATACAGTTTTTAACTATGTGTCCAGGAATTTGTATAAAATTCTTTGAAAATATCTTTTTAAGTATAAATCAACTCACCTTGATGTAAGGTATGATGTTGTTTAGTGTAATAAAAATCTATATAAACATTGTAGCACTTTGTTGTAAGTTACACCTGCTAAATCCTTTGCCATACTTTGCAGATAAAGAATGTGTTCCAGCCTCAGCAGGTGGCCACTGTTCTGGCTCACATGATTGGTCACAACCTTGGGTTAAAACACGATGAGGACAGTAAGTATTAGCCACGTCACAGCGTAATGGCCCCTAACAGTCATTGCAACTCTTCAACATAATCATTAGGTCCTTGGTATATACTGGAATCCTCTTATCTGTACATTAACCCTGATCTCTTTAGAAAATATTAATTCATCCGTACCTCCATTTCTAAACTACAAGATTTGAATGAAATGTCATACAGTTGTACATCACACTTTGAAATGTTTTTTTGTTTCGATGATTTTGACAGAGTTATTGCCCTTTCTTTTACTTTTTCATTTTGACTCTTTGTCAGGATAACCTGAATTCAGCATCAATTATACCAAATTACCCAACGCTTAAATAATTATTGACACTTGAAATTGTTAAGCTGTGGTTTTTTTTCTAACTTTCCAGCCAACTGAGTTTAATTATGGTTCTAAGGAGTTGTCCCCCTTCCCCATTAAAGCTTTTACATACTTTTATTTTGATGTCCTAGTTCATACCTACACTAACTTGCAAGCTGTTGCATGTTTGCTATTTATGAATAACAAAATGTGAAATCAGAAACAAAAGTATTATCTAATTTATACTAATTTATCAAGTCCCCCTCCTGTATTGCTGGGGGAGACCATAGGTTCACACTCTGGTCATCGGTCAGTCTTTCCAGGCATTACTTTGTCCAGGGCTCATTGACTCTGTCACCTACATTTGCCACATTTTGTATATCGATACCTCTGGGGATGGAGAAGTTATCCATGTTGAAATAGGGTCTTTTCCATTCAGAGTTAACCCCTTCACCCCAAAAGTCACATTTGAACCTTACCAAATCAATGACTGGACAAGTCCAAGTTTAAAATGTAGGGGTGAATGAGTTAAAGCCATTTGTTTACCCTGCATCCCTTTGGCTTAAGCCTATCTCATTCATTTTGTCACTTAAAATTGCCAAATTTTGTATGCGAGTCCCTCCTGGGATTGCAGAGTTTTGTGTACTGAAACAAGTTCCTTTTCACTGGAAATGATATACAGAGTTATGGCCCTTTTTTATTTTGTCATATCAGATTTTGGAACCATGGGTCACTGTCAGTAGTGTTTAAACTTCAATACATCTGTTGCATTTTGTTTTTGTACACATGTATTTCCATTAAATGCATGATTTGTTTTAATAAAGTATAGTGTAAGTAAGAAGGCCTGCTTGAAGTTAGTTGTACTAAATCTTGAAATCCTTTACAAATGAAGAATGTATCATTTCTGTTAAAAGGATATGTAAGTGTGTTGTTTTAATATGTTTGAGATTGGGTTTATTTACATAACATCATTCTGATTGACCTGTGTCATGTGACTAACCTGTGATGTTTTTTGCCGTACCTAGATAACGAGCGATATCTTTATCATACAGGTAACAACAATCCTATATCTTCGTATTGTCGTCTCAGAAATTGCTGTTCTTGCATCACATTTCTCTCTTATTTTATTCTTTTTGATCTCATTGACACCTGAAATTTCATAATGAACTATTCCAACCTTTGAATTGGAAGAGTTCAAATGTGTCTTCAGGGGTGAATGAGCTAACTCTATTTAATTTTCTTCTTTTTTTCCCTGTGAAATTGTGGTCATTTTAACTTTAAATTTGGTCATTTTGTCTTGTAAAATGTTTCAGTATCTATCTTCAGCATGGTGAATTGTGTATCAATTTCATTCAATGAATACAGCCATTCAGCTAAACATGCTTTAAAATAATTACTAATAATGATTTAACATATGTTTGCTTTGAACTTAACCCATTCTGTGGGACATCTTTAGAAGTGCGCTGGCCTTACCATTTCTGCAAAAAGGAAAATCTGTTTCTCTTAGGATATCTTTCTTGACAGTCCAGTTTTACATTACAGAGCATATTGACTTGTGCATAGAAGCTGCCATTCTGTTGTAAAAATCTGCTATGTTTTCATAAAAGATCTATCAAGGAATGCATGCATTTGAGATTGTGAATGGAAGTGTTGTATCTGTGTAATCTTATGTTTCTATTTCCTAAAATAAAATACACGAGCACAAGTCATGTGCTGTCTGGTCTCTGTGGTGTAACTAGCATGTACAGATTGTATTTCATATATTATCTTATCAGTATACATTATGGAAATAGGGGATCACGATCAAGCAAGACTCCATTATGTATGATTCTTATGAAAGAAGCTTTAGTGAGTTTCGTTTGAGTATACTTGTACCACTGCCACAAAACTGTAACTGCACATCGGAAACAGTCTTTTTCCAGCATGGCTAGTGTTGATAAATCATACCTGAAAAGAAAACCATACTTTGCAGGATTTTTATGAAAATATAATAAAGATGAAATAAAGATGAAATAAACAAAATATAATCAACATCGATGTTCTGAGTGTAAAGAAATCAGCAGGGCTAGGTCAGGATTGGAACCATACATCTTGGATTTGTATACTGTTGCTCTTACCAATTGAGCTACCTGGTCAATGGAAGTGTCCTGGCCTCACTGTGCTACAGGCGTATCTAAAATTAAGGGGAGGTTACTGTTTATGCGGAAAAAATCATGGTGCAGTGGTACAAGGATCTTAAAGTCAAAAAGGAGGGGAATTAAGAGATTATGTATATGATATGATCTTTCAAAGCATCATAGATAGCATATTTTGTCACCAAAAAAATTCTGATATTTTTCCTTTTATCACAAATTTTCAATATCATCTCATCGTAACTTTGGATGTCACAGTTGGTGCTATTATGTATACCTGTCACTTATCTAAATATGTATGTGATGGTGTAATTGTACAAGTGCCAAGTGGTTAAGGCATCTGATCGTCTATAATCACTAGTCCTCCACCACTGAGTCGCGGGTTACCTGGGTGAGTCGCCAGGTACTGGCCACAGGTCAGTGGTTTTTCTCCGGGAACTCCGGCTTTCCTCCACCACCAAAACCTGGCACGGCCTTAAATGACCATAGCTGTTAATAGGACATCAAGACACAAATATATCCATTGTAAAAACCACATATCAAAATTATTTTTGATGATGTTATTGCATACACAACATATTAAACAGAGAACTTATATGATGGTATAATACCACTGAATAATAGCCAGACCTTGTGATAACAGAAAATATAAAACATTTAAATATCTTACTTCATCAAAAATTATGTTTGTGTTAGTCAAAAAGTTATTCTTTTCAACTTTTCAATATGGAAAAAAAATACGAAACTCAGGAAATGAATCATCAACACAACTTAAGGGGCATCATATCTAAGAGTTTATTCCAGGATTTCAATGGACGAAACTACTATCTACACACTCTCATAGCCATCATACCACTTAGTCCACCTCAAATTCCTATCATCGGCGTCTGCACTTCACATAATTAATTCTCATGTAATAGATTATTGATCTTCTATCAATACATGTGCGTTCATCAAGAATGCTACTGGTACTCACTAATGCTGTAGACAGATGGGGTTGTGTAGGTATGAGAAATTAAATCTTTGAAATTCTATTTTCAGGTGATTAATTGATATTTAATGTATTTGTTTACAGCATTTGAATGTGATAGCTTTATAATCACAAACTACAACAGTGTCTTTTGTTTCAGATATAGTCTGCATTATTAACCTCTATATAACAAACGTTTTAACCCCTGTAAAGACTTATATATTAACATTTATATAGATGTCTGTATTAACCTATATACATGTATTGAATTTATTATTGACCTCTGTTTATTCTCTATATAATTATATGGACCTCAGTATTGGCCTTTATATTGACTTTTGTCCTCTAATGTCTGTTTTACTGTATGGACTTATAATATATTGACCTCTATTTTGGTTTCTTTATTGACCTCTGTATAACATCTGTATAATTATATGGACCTCAGTATTAACCTTTATATTGACTTTTATTGTATTAACCTCTATTCATGTCTTTTGACTTTATGGATTAATGAATTGACCTCTACATGGACTTCTGTGTTGACTTACAAAATGATCAGTGATTGCATGACCACTGAATGACCTCAGTATGAACTATTTGACCTTTGAATGACCTCATTATGACCTTATAACCTGTTTACAGGTGGCTGTGACTGTGAGGATGACTTTGGCTGTATCATGTCCACATCGGTTCTGTAAGTACTTTTAACACTGTTAATAATTTAGTCATAAAAATTAATAAAGAAAATAATAATAATAATGAAATTTTTAAGTTTGAATATATGCTTAGATGGCTTTAACTCATGCACCCCTGAAGACACATTTGAACTCTTCAAATTCAAAGGTTGGAATAGTTCATTATGAAATTTCAGGAGTGAATGAATGAGTTAACATAAATTGGGAAAGTTCCTGTGATCCCAATCACAGAAATTCTTATAGTCCCAACTTTGAGAAAGCTCAGCCTCTTTGTCATTAAGATGTTACAAGAAGATATAATCTGTTTTAATGAGATGTAAAAGGGTGATGTACAAATGAAATTTCTCCTTGGTGAAAGAAAAATACACTGTTTGTTTGCAGGTCAAAGACTAGTCTCCACTCACGCCAGTTTTCGTCCTGTAGTCTGTCCGACCTTGATGTGGCCCTGAATATGGATATAGCATCATGTCTGGCCCCAGACAATAGGAAGGTATACGGTCTTTTAAACTGTAACAGATAAAGGTACAATGATATACAAATGAAGAAATTATCTGCTTCAATTTTTGTAGAGCTATCTCCCCTTGTAAGTTTTTTGTATTCTACAGAATTAATTACACAGACCTGCAGTAATATTAGAGGATTATGTCTCTAATATTTGTAGAGTTACTTCCTTGACATCTGGTTTGTATTCTACTGAAGATGTTTACCCTGACCTACAGCTGTATAAGAGGATTATGTCCCTTGTATTTGTAGAGTTACCTCCCCTGACATCTATTTTTTGTATTCCCCAGGAGATGTTTACCCAGACCTGTGGTAACATGTACATAGAACGTGGGGAGGAGTGTGATTGTGGAGGGGTCGAGGAATGTGAAAGGGTTGACCCCTGCTGTGACCCCCACACCTGTCTCCTCAAGACATGGGCACAGTGTCGCACGGGTGCCTGCTGCCACAACTGTACAGTGAGTATACGACACCATGAGTCAACAAGTTTCTATGATTAATTAAAACTCGGATTAAGCATGTTTAATTTTTGTGGAAGAAAACAAAATTACCATCAAAAATATTATCTCTTGATTATATTTTATATCGTATTTTGTTGACAAATGTTTGTTTTCACATATTTAACTTGTGTCTCTAAAAAAATGACAAAAAATTGCCCATAAATACCCACCATCTTTCCAATAAATAACTTATTTAGCTTGTCAAAATTGTTAACTGTCAAATCAAGAATTCTTTGTCTTGTGTCATAAGGTTTTCTGTTATCATAGCGATTCTATGTTATGCGTACCCATGCAGTTTCTGTGTCTTAATAAAATACTTATGTGTATTTTACAGTTTATGGCCAAGAACTACGTGTGTCGGGAGAAGTCGACAGAGTGTGATGTACCGGAACTGTGTACAGGAGACAGTGGAGAGGTAGGACCCTACTCCAGTAATTTTGCGATCAATTCAGTTATCTCCAATTAGGTACCTGTTAATGTTGTACAACATATGTTGGTGCTGTTTAAGTCTTTCTGTATTTCAAAAAAATATTCATACCTTAAACAGTTAGGTGTATTGAACCCTTCCTGGGTTTTTTCTGGTCATTGTAGAATTAACATATGTGTTGTTTCCCTTGACAGTGTTCCTCTAACAATTATGTCCAGGATGGACATCCATGTGGTAATGGTCAAGGCTATTGTGAGGGAGGGATCTGTCCCACCCTCACCCAACAGTGTCAACACATCTGGGGCACAGGTAAGTAACCTACGCTTCCTTTCCCAGACCTCTAACACTTGCCCGCTAGACCCTTTCTGTTCACTTACGTTTTGCATTTATAGTAACCAGGAAGAGTGTGTATGATTTTGATTTTATGTTCATGAATATTGAAATGTTGTATTTTGTACATTTATAAAGTCATAACTCTTTGATGTAAATGTGCTGTTCAGCTTTGTTTGAAACATGTCACATATTTCTTAACAGAGGCCACAGGAGCTGACTACCAGTGTTTTGAACGGTTCAATCCAACAGGAAACTTTAATGGGCATTGTGGGAAGAACAACCGGACAGGATCCTTTGCTAAATGTTTACCAAAGTAGGTCATGATCAATTCATTTAAATATTTAAGAGATTAACATTTTTTTTCTCTGAAAACGGTTGCTCCAGAGAGATTTTCATTTCCTGCACGACAAGTGGAATCTGTCATATTGTCTACTCTGAAATCCAGGAAAATAAAGCAGTCCCCAGCAACTGTAGACACAAAAGCTGGTTTTGAATCATAACTGTACTGATATCAAAATTGTGTATATAGTAGATAAAGTTAGCTAATTGTTAACATTATGATTGTTTTACATTAGAGATTAATAGCCTTTCCCCTATTCATTATAATGGTATGACGTCACTTCACAACAATACAATGACGTCGCATCAACAATCTATCAACATCATGTCAACCCTGAATTTAGCCTGTAACATTACACAATGGGTGAATAGGGTAAGAGAAAAAGAATCGTTCACCCCCTTGAGGGTGAGATAGAGGAATCTCAACTCTCTGGAAAAGATTCTTAAATTGCCAAACACTCGACAAAGCCTCGTGTTTGACAAGTTAAGAATCTTCCTCCTCGGGTTGAGATTTCCCGTATGGGAGGGTAATATAATCTTTCACCCCCTTGGTGGTGAGACAGGGTATTCTCAACCTGAGGGGTAAGATTCTTAAGTTGTCAAACACCAGGCTTGCCGAGTGTTTGACAGCTTAATAATCTTACCCCGAGGGTTGAGATCACCCTGTCTCACTCCCAAGGGGGTGAATGATTATTTTTCTCTTACCCTGTTTACCCTCTTATGTATTTTATATAGATGTTACATCAATGCAAGACAATGTTGATGTGATGCGGCTGAATTGTCGACGTGAGGTGATTGTATTGTTGCCGTGACGTCATGGTATTGTTGTTATGACGTCATAAAATTGTTGAGAACATGCAAAGAGCACGTGTAGCTTGTCTCAACCCTAGGGTGAGATAAGAAAAATCTCACACCGGTAAAATGGTGGATATCCCAGTCCAGGGTAAGAGAAAGAGAGATTCTATTAGTCTGATGGGGGAGAAATATGGATTTACTATTGCCAGCTTACTGTTGACATATAAAGTGATATTTAAAGTAGATATAGCTCACAGTCTACCGTACAGTATAAAGCAGTACAGGTTTACAAAAGTTGGCATTTGCTGATGTCGGTAAAAGATGGGACAAGTTTACAATAGTATTATTTGCTGTTGACAGGAACATACAGTGTGGGTTACTACACTGCCAGGGAGGAACCACAGTTCCCCTCCTCGGGTCAGACAGGAGTTTCTCCAAAACTACCTTCAGATTTGATGACGTGGAATATAATTGCAAGTAAGTACATAAATCAACCTGCAAGGAGATACACAAATCAAGCTTCAAGGAATTCACCTGTTATGTACTTTACAAATTCATTTTTTTACTCTCACACAAAATCGTGGTATTTCTGTTAATTTCACATATCACTTATTGTCATTTTTTTGGTCAAAATATGACACATGATATTAAGAGAAATGTACTAAAAATATCATATATTTGATATTAAAGCTCCTTGATTTAATAAAAAAAACACTTCTTGTGTTACTCTTTGAAAAAATAAAATAAAAAAATACGCAATGAGATAAATACAACCATCACCATTTATCAACATCAATCATGCTCAATTCTACAGAATCTTCCGTTTTCCTGTCTGTTGTTGTATTGTTAAATCTATTCTTTCCCATTTGTTAGGCTCCAGGAACGGGGTGGTTATTACAAGAAATTCCTAAATGATGAAAGAAATCTGATATTGTACTGATTATAAAATGTGTTTGTTGCCAGGGTGATCCACGGTCCAGCTGTGATTGGTCTGCCACATTTCGGTCTGGTCCAGGACGGCACCAAGTGTGGAAAAGGTGGCATCTGTAGGAACAAGCAGTGTGTGTCAATAAGTGTCTTACCTCCCCTGATGTGTCCCGGGACAGGGGGCGACATCATCTGTTCAGGGCATGGGGTAAGTCTTTTCTTATTTATTATATTAAGTAATAATTACCTCACTGGACTAGAGCGTCCACACCGAGGAGGGGCAGATCTGGTCACACAAAGCAGGGGTAATTAAGTTCATGTATATATGATAGTTATCTCCCTTGCCATTAACAGAGGTGATACACAGAGGCCACTGGCAGACACGTGAAGCAGTTTTGTATCGGAAGCATCTTAATAATATAATTGGAAATTAGGTTAATTTATAAATATTTGATACGATTTCTCTGGTTTAATTGAATGTTTTCAAATATTTGATTTCACCAAAAAGTATTTTTCAACAAAATAAATCATTGATTCGAGAGTCACATGAGTGGTTCTTTAGAATTCTGTGATGATTGAGGTATTACTAGTATGAAGAAACTCAATCTTTCTAGACAAAGTTTCAAATTCAAAAAATAAAAATGGAAATCTTTTAACTTAACTCATTCACCCCTGAAATTTCATAATGAATAGCAAACCCTTGAATTGAAAGAGATAAAATGTGTCTTCAGGGGTGAATGAGTTAATGGGAATCTTATTATTGAAATTTGAATATATAAATATGAAAAAAATAATTGATTTCTATAAATCAGGAAATAAAACATATGATGCAATCTTGTAAAAATGACAGGTGAAAACAAAGGTGTTGCAGTAATTGGTCAGTGTTGAAAGTCTTCTCACTAGCCCTACAGGCAGGGTCACTTCCCTACCTCAGGTAATACATGGTCAAGCAGGGTCCTGGACTGGTCAGTATATTCTACCTTACTGGACATGAATGGTCAGACAGGAACACCTGAGGCCCATTACCTACTAGGGTCTTAATGAAGACAAGATTTTTACCTGTGTAAATTAAATATTGACACAGGTGTCTGAAGTGTGCCATCTCTTTGTTATATTTGTCAAATTACTTAAAAGACTAATTTGACAATGATATATAATATGGGAGATAAAGGTAATATAGAATTATGGGTATCATGAAGGGCACAATTAGAACAGACCAGACCGATAAAACCTCACATGTAAAGCTGACGTTACAGGAGCAGGTACAATATTGTCAAGGTATCGTCACTTCTCTTCTATAGTCAGGCCTTAATATTTTCTTGTTGAATTTTTCATTTGCTCTATACATGAAGGCATTCATAGTTTGATTGTCTTTTTAGGGTGGTAGATAAATTATTCCCAATTTTTTTCATTGATAGGATATACATAACAAATAGCATGCCCAGTGGTGCAGTGGAGTGCTTTATAATCAGAGGTCCCTGGAGGGGAGACGTTTTTTATGAATAACAAAATCATAAGGAACATATATTTTTCATATATGAATGTTTGCTATAGGAAATGTGCATGCATGCAACTCGAGTTCTGCAGTCAGAAAACTGTTGAACAAATTGGAACTCTTCTTTGATGGAGATAAAACACAGAATGCTGGAACTGACTTTCATGTCTTGTAATTATAACAACGTAAACTTAATGTAATCTAGTGTATAACAATTTACTTTAGTTGATGGTATTCCAACCTGCATGTACCAACATGGGTTTGCATGGATTATTGAATGTTGGCAAACACTTGATGTCATAGCCGACTGGTTATAGTCGACATAAAAACATAACAAACATTTGATATCATTGCCGACTGGTTATAGTCGACATAAAAACATAACAAACATTTGAGGATTAATTCACTTTGAATATATAATAGCTCACTGAAATGGATAGATTACTTTGTGATTGTTTCATCATGATGAGTATTGTGAATTTCTCTAAACGACCTTGACCTTGCAGGTTTGTACAAAGGACAGCACATGTTTCTGTGACGAAGGATGGGATGACCTTGACTGTTCTGTGAAGGTCAACATCACCGTGACGACTGGGATCATGGCTACCACTCCCTTGCTGACGACCACAACAACGACCCCTGAGATCCTGGTAATCCCAATCGAAATAAATGAGGCCACTACTGCTAACACAGAGAGCTCTGTGGCTGCCCTTGTTCCCGAGGACGACGGCTTCTCCTCCGTGTGGCTCATCATCATTCTGGCCGCGGTCGTTGGGGGTCTGGTTTTCCTGCTTACAATGACATTTGTATGCTACAGGTAAATAACTACACTTACATTTTGAAAACAATTTGTTGATAACTGTATCAATTTTTTAAAACAAAACTAGACTAAACACCTGATACGATGATGTAAACAGTCTAAAAATAGTTCTGATGTGTCTAGGAATAAATGGACCAAATATAGGCAATACAACATGACATAAATAGAAAAATAAGATCTAACGTCCGACTGGAAAACTCGAGCCCTATATGAAGGGTGAAAACTCGAGCCCTGTGAAGGGTGAAAACTAGAGCCCTGTGAAGGGTGAAAACTAGAGCCCTGTGAAGGGTAAAAAAAGTTTTGTAGTCGCTCGTTAGATCTCATATTTTCTAAACTTATATATATATATATACATAACATTGGCTTGTTGTAATGTGCAGTTGTGTTCAGAATGTAATTGAAATAACAAAGTTTTTTCCTTAAATAACCTAAATGTAATGTATCTACTGGTATTTCAAAATCTGTCACAGTGCCCACCAGTGGTTCTGCTAATTCTTCTAACATAATAAAGCAAGTACGCAAGACTTAAAAACACCATGTACTTCTTTAAGGACATGCTGTAATATACTGTAAAAGCTGACTTTATTGACACCTGGCTTTGATGACATTCTGTTATATACTGTAAATCCTGACTTTATTGACACCTGGCTTTGATGACATGCTGTAATATACTGTAAATCCTGACTTTATTGACACCTGACTTTATTGACACCTGGCTTTATTGACACCTGACTTTATTGACACCTGGCTTTAATATAATCTTATCTGCACAACTCTGTCATATCCAACACAAGTGATCCAGTGCGCGGTTATGTCAGTAAAGCTAGGTATCAACGTTTTTCTGCCATACAGACCTTGACTGAATGTGCTCTTTAATCCTTACCATCATTTTCTGACACAGGAGGAGAAATCCAGCCAAGTTATTTAAGAAAAAGAAAGGATTCTTTGGAAAGAAGGGTGAAAAGGACGATAAATGTATAGAGGCAGGAAACAAGCTGATTACTTTTGGGAACCTGCCTTCCTACAAGTATGTATTAACAACGATTACTATTGAGGCACAAAGTGCCCGTGTCACAGTATCCATCATCTGTTGTCACCTTTTCCTGTGAGGCCCTGTCATGTTGTTTGGGCTGTAACTTGGTTTTCCTACAGTTACAGTACTAAACTGAGGGTAGCTTGAACTGCAGGTTCACATTTCAGTGTCAGTGTCCCCAATTCTATAAGTCTTGAAAAATTTGCCATCACTCAAGTTCCTTCATTAAGGATCTGGTTTCCATAAAACTTTATACAGAGGTTAACTTGAAGGATAAAGGCTCAGTTTGTTAACTTCAAGGAGTTTGCGTTTAAGCAGTTTGCACCAAAGGTAATGGTCACTGTTACTATGTACAGTGTATAGAAAAAAAATTGCTTTCACTCTCGTTCTTCATTTGTGATTGGATTTCCATGAAACACTCTACAGGGCCTACATGGCTTAGATATTTTCGCTACCCCATATTTTACATTGAAGTCAGTGGTTACAACAAAAAATGTATTCCTGTGTTTTCTCTTTTTGCAGGTCTGACAAGCTCTGGGGTAAGAAAAAGAAGAAAGGACGCCTGACAAGTGAGGAAGAGAGTGACATCGGGGAACTTCCCCCGCCTCCCATCATAATCTCTAACGACGCAGTCAAACCAGAGCGTGGAATTCTGAAGCATTGTGGGAAGGCTGATGAGCGGCGTAGTAGCGAGTCAAACACTGGTGGCTCAGACGTGACCTGTGATCGCGAGAGTATGGAACGTTACATGTACGATGAGGAGGATGACGATGAGGCAGAGGAAATACAGGAAATTCTCAGTCGAAAATATGAACCCGGAAATTCCATGGAAGAAGCCCTTGATCAAATTGCAGAATCCTCAAGTTTTGACTTTGTGTTACCAATGCCACATTTCAATTCTGGGAACAACACTTCTTCTGGGCCTACACAGTCATCACCGAGGAGAATGATGATGGGGGTCGGTGGGTACGACTTCCCAATGCATCAAACTCAACCGCAGCGTCCTCCAATGCTGTGGAAGTCTAATCTTCAATCTCCGCCCAAGTCAAAGGTCATTCGCATGAAAAATTTAGATGAGTTGATTCAGCAGATTGACAGGCACACTATTGACCTTTCACCTTCTCCAGATGAACTGCCAATGCAGGTGTCGCCATCTACTTCGGAGGATGTTCGCAGCAGCTCCACAGATGATCGGGACCGCCATTATTTCAACAGCTGTCACACGCCGCAATCTCCACAGTCCATCACAAGCGGAAGCACTCGCGACACGTACCGCCCCCTCCTCAGCAGCCAATGGACTAAGTATATCCTCCGACGCAATGATTGGGATAACGAAAGTGCAGACTACTGCACAAACGAATCTCCACCCCCTCATATAAATATTCCACCACCCATGAGTCCTCTGCACATACGGAACATATTCAACTATGCACAGAAATCACTTGACCGCGACAACAATGATACACCAATGGGAAGTCAGACTGGCGAGTGGAGCTCTAACAACGGTACCACAAACTCACGCTGTGGCTACGAGAAAAGTTCAGGTTACGGCAGCGAACATGATCCTGCAGAAGGAAATAGCATTGATGGCATGTCCCACACACAGTCCAGATCGGGGTCAGCATCGCCTCCATCGTACAGCGCTGTAATCCGCACTGGGCCAAACCAAATCAAACTGGTGCCCGCCAGAAAGTTACAGGAAACTGGTATAGAAAATGAAGATTTACATAGACTTTTACAAGAGTTACCAAGAATTGATGCTGGTACCTTTGAACGGAGTCCAGTCCCAACTAATATCAAACAACCAAGGTACGGTTTTCTATCAAAGGCCGATTCTTTACCCCCCGGTATACCACCACCTTCCGACTCTTTCCCAGACCCCTGCCCCCTTAGTAAGCAGGACAACATGCAGTTCGGAAGTGCACCATGCATAGACTGTAGTTTGGAGTCAATACCCCAGGCAGTTCTTGCCAAATCGAAACCCAAAAATAGAAACTGTTTCAATGTGGCACACAGACCTAACAGTCTCACGGGGCCTCAGAGGGAGGTCGAATTAATGTTTGAACAGAACGATTCGGACACTGACAGTCGGAGACACAGTGCCCTTGACAATGCACTGGAAGCTCTGCCTATGGACCCTACGGTAGCGTAGTGTTACAAGGGTAGACAACTCTTTTTAAAAAAGTGAGGACAACTCTTAAAGACAATTGGTTGTTGCCGGTGCTGTATAATATTTGTATGTATGTGCTTTAATGCCGAAGTAACAACTAGATCTGCTAAACACGCATGATTTTTTTTCTTTTCTGTGCTCTTACAGAAATTTTTACAATATTATACATGACTTTGTTTGAACATTCTTTAAAAAATATTTTGATGAATTTGTATTTCATCTTTTTAAGTCATTTGATTATGTATGTTTTGATTACAGTAATTTGTGACTTGAAGTCGGCTATGAATTTATTCATTGATTTTGCAAACAATTTTAATATTTTGCAACTTCCTTTATTAATTTCAATTTGAAGTGAGAATCTCCTTCTTGGCAAAGGAGTATTTAAATGTAATAAGTTATTCAAAAGAATATGAAACCAACTGTTGGAGCACACACATTGCCATTTGGACAAACACTTCGATACTTATGTCTCAAGATATTGGTATCTTACCGTGTAATTTTTTCATTTTTTTTCTCAATTTTTCAATATATCTGTTGGTTTCTATGGGAACGTGTATCTTGAAAGTGTTTTTCATTGCAATTGTATATACCAATTTAAATCTTACTTGCCATGATTTTACCTGAACATTTTTGTAACTTTGAGACCAATTCATTTAATATGCAGACAAAATGTAACAACCTTTGAAGCACATTTTTAGTATCAATCACCCACCGAAGTCTGTTTTTTGACACGGATCAGAAATTATATATGGCAACCAGTGAATATCTTGGACTTTGGCTCTAAGGTTGTTTCTGTGTAATATCATTAAATTTTAAAAGAATGCTTTAATTTTCATGAAACTCCCAACAAATACTGTTTGTATCAACTACCCGCTAAAGTTGAAATTTTAGTCAGATCCCAAATTCAATATGGCCGCTAGTAGCCATCTTGGATTCAAAGCTGTAGTGTCCAATCAAAGGTGTTCAGCGCATGGCCAAATTAATACATGTAATATATAGAGGCTACTGCTACTGGCCAATTGATGGCGGTTGATATCTCAAATTCAATGTCTGACCCAAATTGTAAATATTTGATGAGACTGATGCAGTCGTAATCATTTTAGATACCACACATTGATCAGGATTGATTTTTTTTGTTAGTGCCGAAAAACTTGTATGAACTGCTGGGAATTCAAACAGATTATCATCAATCTAGGGGAAAAGATGCATGTGAATTCCTGCAAAATTCATGTAAAACTGAAACACTTACTAAGATAAATAAATTAAGATGACACATAGTTAAGGAACTATTACAAAATGTGTGTGTAGTTAGGGTTCTGTTATCATATGTTCCCCACTGCCAAATGTCCCCGTATCATTTACTATCATATTATACCCAGGGATACATGTACCATCCATTACATCAGAGTCACAACATGACACTCCCGTCACCTTCAGTGTAACAGATATATCTGTGTGTGTATTAAATACAAATTATGTGTTAGGTAATAGTCTCATGTTTTTAAGACATTTTTTTTCATCAGTAATCAGGTTAAAGTTTCCCGTGTCCGGTTTTTCCATTATGAATATTTAAATAGTGAGACATAACATGATGAAAATTATTGTTACTGCAAAGGTGGACGCAATTATGAGATTACATAAAAACATCTGATCTGTTATCTTCCATCTTGTAATGGAGTATAAACCCAGGAAGTATGCCCATTTTTGTTGTTAACCCTTTCACCACTATAGACCAGAATGGACTCACCCAGATCAATGCATGGAAGAGTTTACTATAGTTAGAAAGGGGTGAAACGGTTAAAAAAATATCTTGCACATTAAGGATCCCCGTACCACTGCCAAAAAACTAGCTATAAATTAGAAACTTTTTAAAGGGTTTTATTTGCAGTTGGCAGGAATCCTTAATTCAGAAAAAATCTATGGACCAGCGATCTTCTTGTGCATGGACATAGTTTCTGTTTGTCGTATGTCCTATTGCAATTCGTACACAGATTATGTGTAGTTTGATACAGGCAGAATTTTCGACCCGTAGCCTTTGGACCTACGCTCGTCACTACAAATGTGCATTGTATAATGATCTCCGCATGCTTACTACGTAATCTACGCATCGTCACTTGTTAATTTTTGTTTCATTATGCATATGACCTTTATAAAAGGTCAAACCAAATGTGTGCAATACTCATGAACTTATTGATGTTATTTTTGTGATAGTTTAAAAATTATTTAGAGCAAAATACATGTAGAAAGATTTTTATCGTTTTATTTCGCAGTATTATTTCTCATTGTATCAGTGTATTCATTCTTACTGTGACGTGGTTTAAGTGACAGAACACGTAATGTATACAGGTTAGATCAACATTTAGTGTTTTGACTTTTTTTTCGTTAATTCATTGATAAACCTATATATGAATATGTCATTATAAATGAATTACCATATATATTAGATATTTTCGTGTATATAGAATTTTTGCTTTATTTACAACAAGATGATTAAAATCGTGAATATTAGAACGCAAACTTCTAATCAAATTATGATAATTGCTGTACACTTTTGTGATAACACTTGCATGGAGATAAAAATGACAAAATTCAAATGTGAAAATTTAATGATTTTGAAAATGTTTGTGAAATTTACATCCTGCATTAATAAACTGATATATAATATATTACCGTGGCGATGTGTTATAAGAGTTATAAATATGGAGAAGTTTTCAGAATTTTATTGTCCTCCTCCTCCTCGTATTTCTTAACAATAAACTAGCTTTATTTACCTTATACATATATATATTACAGAGAATCATTGTACTCTTGTCTTGGTTGGTATTCATCTTGGCCAAAGTAAAACCTGTTTGGTGCAGAATTACCTGACTTTTTCCGGTTTGTGTTAGCAACACTTACCTGCACTTGTAGTTATTTAAAATCTATTTTTTGCAAATCAGTAACTAGGCTCTCTAACTTAAACAGTAGGACTGTAATGTCGGCCAGGAAACCCCCGACTGTACATGTCTGTGTGATTGATGTCACAATATAGAATAATATTGAAATTGTGTCAGAATCAACACTGACATTAGATAAAATTAGATAACATATATTTTGGAGGTTTGGTGATATGTGTGTTATCTATGTATAGGTTGTGGAGTCAAAGCTTGAACATTTTCTTGTGGTGCAAGTGTGAATAAAAAAAATTCCTCTCCATTATTATATACTGTCTGCCTTTCATGGCCTAAAACCTTCAGTCAAGGTCATATACATGTATCTACCATTGAAACCCCAAGTACCAGGTAATTGTTTTTAGGGGAATGGAGGGATGAATCACAGGGGCTAGCAGTAATGAATATTGAATAAGAAATGATCATTTATTAACCACACAATTAACTTTATGTAATCATGTTCTTTTTCTTATAATTCTTATTTTATAGTTATTGTTTCTAGTCCCGTCGGCTGAATTAAAAACAAACGTTGAGGTATGCATATTAAAATCATCCAACAAAAAATCTTACAGAAATGCCAAACTTGCTGGTGTATCACCGGTGATAATTCAGGTAGCACAACAGTAAGTTTGTGTTATTCATTAATTTGCGTAACTTTGAGCAGAAGAACAATGTTTCGGGCTATTACATTGTACAGTATGTATGGTCTACATGTATATAATCTACCTGTACAGTGTTTGCCCCGTTCATCATTTGTATGGTTGCTTAACTGCTTTACAAGAAACTTTGTTACAATTTTAGGAGCAAGTTAGAGAATTTCACTCGGTGAAAGATGTCAAATTTATTTTGACCGATCAGTACGATATTATCTATTTACTGCATTCAAAGCTAGATTTTTGTTCAGATGCAGATCAAGTGAAAGTAGAATAAGTGGTTGTTTTGGTATATCTTTGCTTTGTTTACTAAATTATTTACTTATAGTAACTGCACAACTGATATCATAAGGAAGTAAATATAACAAGGTAATAGCACATGTTACATATACAAATGTAAGCTAAATATTTTGTTGTATTTTGAGATTTTCATTATCATATTATCAATATGATTATTTGAACATGTAGAGATCTGATATAGAAGAATAATATTTATATGAAACAATATATCCCAGGGTACTGGGATATCGGTCACTGTGTTTGTTTATTTTGCAAAACTCTAGGAAACCGTATATTTATGTGCAGTTTTACGACAAATGACCAAAGTGACATTTTCGTATTGACATCTTACAGGCCGTAACTCCTGAACAAACAAATGTTCTGAAGTAAGTTTGGAATTCCCGAGAATCTGTGTGACAGTAATACTTTGTTTGTATCTAACGTGTTATATGTTTCTTTTGTGTGTTCATACCCTCAGAAAAATAGAAATTTGAACAATCTTGTGGATCCATTTTGAATTACAAATTGTTCTTCATTGACTGTATTTAGGTTACTCATTTAATCCATTTTGAAATATTTTAGCATCATCATCACCATTTTAGAATTTATAACTTGTGACCTGTAAATGTCACATGACAATCAAGAGTGCTGATACAATGAACAAATTTATGTCATAATTCATCTAGGTCATTGTGACTATTTTTAACTAAATGTAGGTCACTTTAACTTGATTGAAGTAGGTCACTGTGGCTTGATTTCACTAAATCATTGTGACTTTTAACTAAATCAGACATCATTAAGTCAATGACTTAACTAGGTTATGGTTACTTGCTGTAATTAGGTCATTGTGACACAATTAGGTCACTGACTTGATTAAACTAGGTCACTGACTTTCTGAAATGGGTTGCCGTTATTATAATAATAATAATTGTGACTGTAATAACTTGGTCACTGACTCGTATGTAAATGGGTTACCGCGACTTATAATAATTAGGTCACTGTGACCTGTTTTGTGTGCTCTTCCATATCACCACCAGTACCTACCCAATTGTATAACAGTTTCCTGCCGAGTTGTAGTAGGATCAAACAGAGAATAAACTCCACAAAGTAAACAATCACCGTTTTTGTGTTCTTCTTTCTGAATATTAGATATGTAAACCTTTGTTCTGTATCAAGGTAGAGAGTCCCAGCACTTTTCATCTCCAAGGAAAAAAAAGTTCCAATTTTTCTTACCTACAAATCAACAATCTTTAACTTTCTGGGAAAAAATCCCTAAATATACATATAGCTCGATAATTGGAATGGCATGCAAGTTTACTGTTATGATAATTTAGTTTGCTTTTCACAAAAAACATTTCAACTACAGCAATTTAACCACTGTTTGACTGTAAAATCATTCTGCAACATTACAAAGAACATTTTCAAAGTATTCCAACTCCTTTAAAAAAGGGCATAGACCTGAAACCTAAAATTATAAATTTTCAATTTCAAAATGGAAGAAATAAATTTAAGAGGAAAAAGCTTTTGAATGCCTGTTTAAAGTAAAAGAAAAGAGTTTGGACTCTCTACCTTAAGCTCAATTTAAGGCTTCATTGAACAGAACACATTTAAGAGTCTGATTTTGAAACAAGCACTTAAAAAAGTCAAATTTCAAAGTAAGCTTAATTGAAACCCTGCGTTTGGATCACTTTAGCAAGAGTCAGGCTATTTGGGCTGATCTGAGATGAATTAATTTCTTTTAGAAAGCTTACTCAAAGGAAATTCCATAGGTAAGAAATTAGGAGAAATCAATATTAATAATGTGCAATGTAAATGTAGGAAATTTCCACAATTTAGTGTTTACTGAATGAGCTGGAAAATATTAATATGCACACCAAAACATATACATAATCTATTACATTGCAGCAATGTCAAAGTTTCCACACCCTGATTTTTTTTGTGACGTGAAATGCACATTTTTTTTCTCTTTTACAATACCATATTTATCATGTTATGAGCCCAAGGGACCAACACATAATCTCCGACTGAAAGTAGGGGGATGGGCGTATTACAGGACGGTGAAATAGCATTTGTTGGAATTTCTTCTTGACAGCAATATATATGGGTGGGCTTATTACCAAGCAATAAACCTATAGAGTGACCAGGCCCCGGAATCTCGAAACTTCTTAAACCCATTCTTAGTGCTTAACTTTAAGCATATACTTAAAAAAGTGTATCTCAAAGGTTCTTAAACCATTCTCAATTCTTAACTTTAAGCATATACTTAAAAAAAGTGTATCTCAAAGGTTCTTAAGTATGCATTCTCAAATTTTAAGTTGAGAACGGGCTCAATATTTGAGAATGGTAAGGAGCATGCTTAAATATTTAAGAACGTGCTTAAATACACAAAATGGCCAACTGTAATTGTCTTATAAGTCATGAAATTCAGCCGCCAGAAATGAGAAAGGAGACGAAAGGCACAGTGTTTATCGTTATTTTTCATTTATTTATTTATTTATTCATAATTAGCCAACACTTTGGATATAATTAGAAAACCAGCATTTGGGGCCATTCAATACAGTCTTCTATCACAGGATGTCCATAAAATCAGACATTGGCAAATAACTGATATGGCCTATTCGGTTATGGGGAAAAGGAAAATTTTACCAGAGGATTTGGGGCAGGTTCTGACCCCACCCAAGTGTAAAATTTTCATATCGCGAATACATGCATAATGATAGGCACCTTTCCTCAAATATTTCTTACCCAGGAAATATTTCTTAAAGGAAATGTTGTAAATGCAACAATTAATGTCATAGCATTTCTTATTACATTAGCAATCTCGTTACAACCTGTTAATATCGTTCCACACATTTAAAACTAGGTCATTGCTTTGTTAATGAGAGAAGCATTACATAAATTGTAGTTATTGTTGTTAATTGTTTGATTACCGAACTGACCGATTAACCGGTTACTCGGTCAGAAGATTTTTCGAGTAACCGGTTAGTAAATTTGTCTGGTTTGACAACCCTAATTTTAACATTATAGTGAACACGTTAAAATGACTTTTTTTCTTCAAATTTAACCCAATAGGCTTCTGTACCAGACATTTTCATTTGAAGTGTGGAACCTTTTTTATCCCCTCCCATGGGGAGTGGTGGTGGTGTAATGGGTAAGGGGGTGTTTTGTTCCGTGCGTACATATTTATCACCTTTTTTCATCGCTCTATTGAATTCATATCTGAACATATGAACAATACCATTGTATAAAAAGTGTCCAGTCATGGTTCTAATGAATCGTCATAAATAAATAAATAAATTTAATCAGTTTAGGATAATTATTCAATATTTTCTTTTAATATCTAGCATTCAATAATATGTCTGTCATAACAACAAAAATGGTGTCAACTGTTTTTTAATATACAATTTAGCTTGAAAACTTAAATATGGTTTTCAATGCACTGCAAAAGAAGTGCGGGAGTATCTATCCTAGTTAATTCCGGAAGTATTTCATACACTGATATTACCTTTTTTCGAGATACACCAATTTGAGAAATTCTCAGCTAAGTACGTACTTAGCTTAAGAATGGAAAGTTAAGAATTGAGAATTAAGAAGTTTCGAGATTCCGGGGCCAGGCCACTTTCAGCTACAGTGTATTTACTCTTGGGCTTAATGTTAAATTCTAAGACACTCTTTAGCAAGGTACGTCTATGAAATACTTCAGTAGAAGATTTCAGGAAGCGAGTCTCCAAAACTAGGATCTATGAAGCCCTGGTTATTAACATTTCAATATAATGCTTAAAACCCAGTGGGGGGTATATAGGAATCGCCCTGTCTGCCTGTCCGTCTGTCTGTCCATGAGCCTTGTAAGTGCATATTATCTCAAACTATGTGTTTAATTTTATGTAACTTTACACAGTGAAAGTACATTGTATGTACCGGTAAATATGCATGAAGAAAGGAATATGAGATTTGAATATTTCTTATGGAGAAAGTACTTTGTAATGCAACTATTTTTCCTGGAGTTATCATGCACCCTTGAAACTTTAAATTTCTGCTCCAGAAACACTACACGCAAGCCGAGTGTGTAGATCTTTGTGAGCTCGCTCAGTTTCTCTTGTTAAATCTGACAAATGACAAAGTCAACATTTGGTGTGGAGATATTTTATTGTTACACCAGCATGATCACACTACCAAGCATGATTACACCACAGAGATAGGTATAGTGGAAATTGTTGTAAATGAAGACTTTTCTTCAATTAAGTTCTTGTTTTACCAAATAAAAAGTGATTCAATGCATTTCAAAAGGAAACATAAGTATTGCAGAAAAGGTTACAAGAAAGTAAAAAACAGAAATTCAGAAAATTTGAAACATGCTGCTAAAGTACCTCGGTATATAGTGTAGAATCATTTACTTGCGTGAGATTAAAATTTCGTGGTTTTCATATACTAGCCTGTTTCACTGATTTCTGATTTTCCCCTATCGATATCATACCAAATTTATGTTTTCGTGGGGATTTAATTTTGTGAATTTTTGTTATCCACAAAATAAACGAAATGTAATGTCCCACGAAAATTTATTATTTTACAGTATTTTAGTGCTTTTTGTGCTTTAGATATTGTGTTAAACTATGATATCACTTATTGAAATCAGTTTTGTTTTTCAATGCATACTTTGTGGTTGAGCCAATTGATCAATGTACTAGTCTGTTAAAATTTAATAATGCGCTAAAATTTGAGTACACTAAAATTAGTATGTTAACAGTATACGTAGCCAGTATAGGGTATTCTTTATCCTTAGAAAGTAAAGAGATTATTGAATGAAACTTATATTCCCGACACCTTGTAAAGGATGGTATATATACTGTATACTATATATATTGGGTAATTTTCGCCCTTTGCCAGTAAAATCCATGTTCTCCCATTATTAATTTCACCCTTTACATTTAATTACTATGCATATTACCCGGTATGGTCTTTATTAACTAATTCACCCCTGAAGACACATTTGAACTCTTCCAATCCAAAGGTTTGAATAATCCATTACAAAATTTCAGGGGTGAATGAGTTAATGTTTGCTGTAACGATAAATTTGTCCTCATTACCGAGGTCAGAAATTAAACTGCAGTGAAAATGTCACTGTACACAGTATACATGTAAACAAGATCATAAATGTAAACTTCAACTCATCACCCCTACATATTTAAACTGGACTTGCCCAGTCTATGATTTGGTAAGGTTCAAATGTGACTGTAGGGGTGAATGGGTTAATACCAAATGTCCACCATACCAATCCCTGTGGATAATAAGTAACAGCTGTAGTTAACATGAATAACGAAAACTGAAAGCCGAAACACAGGATTATAAACATACAGACACCGTGTTATAGTGATACGTTATGTTTTCATGTTGATCAGAAGAAAAGTACTTTGCATGTGCCTGTCACACAGACTTTTCCATCAACATTGAAGGTGACACGTGACCTCCACAAAAAAGAAGAATATGGTAATTATTTTGCTTATGAGGAAAGTATGTTAACAGCCATGAAATTTACAATGTCAAAAGATAGTGATTTTGACAATATCATTATACAGTAGGTAAAAGTTATATGGCGAGGACTCTGCAGTGCCTTCAGTTTCATCCAAGGGTTACACTCTCAATAACATGCAAGAACGTAAGAGAGCGTGCAAAACTCCTGGAATTTTGAGGATGGTGCTTTGGAGAAGAAAAAAATATACTACAAATAGCTATTTAAGTTTACTGACCTTGAACCTTAGCCTTTGTGACTTGACTTTGTATTACAAGTGAGGTCATAAGATGCTGCATGGCACCAAGTTATATATATGTAAATGAGGTATCAATTATTAAAACAAATCTTTACTAGTATTTGAACTTTGACATTCATTGTGACCTTGCCCTTTGAAGTGAGGTTGTAAAATACCCCTGTACTGCATGGTACACCATCAAGTTAACCCTTTCACCACGGTAGACCATAATGGACTCATCCTTATCAATGCATGGCAGAGTCTACTAAAGGTACATAGGGGTGAAAGGGTTAAAGGCATGTAAAATACTGACCAAATCAGACAACACAGTTCAAGTATTTATCCACTGATCCAACATTACTGAACATAAGATTTACGAATGACTATCACAATTTCATCATCAATATAACTACATCCTACATCTCAAAATCCATAATGAGCAAAGATTCGCTTGATGCATGAATAATAATATTCATCTCTATAAATGAACATTATAATTATATCGCAAGATAGGTGAATGTTCAGAACTCCCCAAGCAGGCTGTGACTACAGGTTTGCCATTCTATGTAGAATATAATGGGTGAATACAATGATACATTTTAAATAATGAAAGCTTGACAAAATATTCAAATATGCATTTCATGTTTTACATTATGATAAATGCATTCAATTTTTTCAGAAAGCAAGTTTCCGATAAGATATTTCAAACATACTGAATTCAACCTGGTAAATGCCCCATTCCTTATAAATGGCACCAATTATTTTCCTGGACCGAACATCCCATCCCTTACAATAATTTCCTGAAAACATTCAAGGATCTCTTATTAACCTTTGGTCTTTTATTCAGACATTTGAAAAATTAGGTATGTAATTATTCTGATATCCTAAATTATTAAATTCAAAGGGCAATTATGAGGTTGAATTTGGTCATTATAATATTATATTTTAAACAACACATTTCATATATTGAGTCACACTTAATCACTATACTGCGTACAGTGTCCAACCCCTGGTTACTGGGTTGAAAATCTCACAACTCGACAGTTTACAGGAATATATCTTACCCTGAACCTATGCTTTCTAAAATCTCATTGCAAGTCCCAGGACCTATTTCTATATCGGATGTAAAGACCAGGGGAGATAACTCCCACAGGAACTTGTCATAGACAACACACTGTCATCGGGCTTCTTTTAGTTTGGCATCGAAGTTCTGCACATTTTTATGTTGGACACATTAAAAAGATTTGCATTCGCACTTCATGTACATTAGTATACCCATTAAAATGTTCCGCTGGGGTTGAATTTCTATCATAGCAATAATTGGGGTGGGGCAGGGATGGGATCATCCTTGATATCCAGGGGTTACGTTCACTTTCGCTCTATACACCCCTAGAATATGTAGTAGCGAAATTGAAGGCTCAGTGTGCGCCACCTTTGTAATCTTCAAAGGACAAGTATCAGCCTAGCGATTGGTCAGTTTCTTTTACCTGAGACCAATCAAATAGCTAGCTGCGTGCCTTAAATTTTGCTATGACATATTCCAGGGGTGTAGAGAGCGAAAGTGAGCGTAACCCCTGGATTTCTAGGATGGGATGGGATAGGGGGCATGATAATACATGTTCATTTTTTTTCAAGTAATCTTAAATCTTTCACAACAGTATTCTTTAAACTTTATACTCTCTCTACAGGAGTTATGGCCCCTCTTCTTAAAAGCACTGGTGTATGATAAAGCTAATTTCATGTTTAAAACTTTAATGTGCCAATCAACTTTAGGGGCAATAGAAATATCTATCAATTAGAACTGAAAAGTCAGTACGTGTGAATTAATCGCAATAAGTGGAAAATATCATGATAATTCACAATTTTACATCTCAGAAGTTAAACTTTAAAAAAGAAAATGTTTCTACAATAGTATATGCTATACAATCTAATGTATTTATTCCGAAATTATTGTCATTTGATTCACAAAGTTAAATCGATTTGCAAAATAAACAAAACAAGGAAAATTATTGTGATCCATTTTATAGTTCCCCACCAGTAAAAGGATAGAAACCTTTGATAAAGGTAAAATTTCTTGAGGACTAAAAGACTTATGTTTAGTGTGAAGAAATTTCTTCAAGGTATTGTAGAGAATGTATGGTTCAACCAAAGCCTTTAACAATGATATTAGTCAAAGGTCAAATACAGGTCACAGTGACCTACTTTTAGTATATGACACTTTGCCTCCCCTAAACGAGTCGCTGAATCAGAGTTGTTGATCCTAGAACTTAGACTTCAGTAGTTATGCTCCAAACAAACGTTTCACTGACACAGATCAGAGGTACACAAACATGTTTGTCACAAATTGAGTGGCTCATCAGCTCTTCAGTTATTGTTAAGGTATGTCCATTTATTACATTCATTTTACTTAAGCTTTCCTTCCCCTGGCACAACATTTAAGACATCAACATTATAAAAGTTTCATTTTTTCTTTACAAATTAAAGATTCTAGAGATGGGCGCCAGTCACACAATGATCTACTTTTAGTATGAAATATTGTTCCATATCAAAATGTACACATTTTATATTTTGTAATCTTAGATGAAATAGAACAGATAATACATAGTGTGGTAAAGCTGTTTACAAAAGGACAAAAACAGATTTGGTGCTTCTGGTAGGTACATTTCAAATATACGTTTCAATAGGGAAGATTGACTCAAAATAGCAAAGGTCACAGTGACCTACTTTCAGTAGGTTACACTCAAAAATTCTAAATATACATCCATACCAAACTTGATAGTCCTACATGGAATATTTAACAGGAGAAGGCCTAGGTATGACAATATGAAAGGACGGAAAATGTGCTATCCTTTAGTCCCCTCCAGTTTAACCGGTGGGGGACTACATTTGAAACCCTACAGCAAATACATAACATCTGTATAAGATTGTCCCCAAAATGTATACCAATATTAAATGGTCTCACCAAGCTAACAGAACAATAGATATAATCACCAATGGAATGTTTATGTACCATTTAACTACAATTAACTCATTCAACCCTGGAATTTCATAATGAACTATTCCAACCTTAGAACTGGAAGAGTTCAAATGTGTCTTCAGGGGTGAATGAGTTAACCTTGCTGTATAGTCAAACTCCGAAGAATGACGAAAAGGTAACTGGCAGTTATCAGAGTAGTTAATCTTAATTAAGATTTTCATACCATGAATATATTAATGTCCATGTATCCTATAAACAATTAACTCATTCACCCCTGAAATTTCATAATGAACTATTACCAACCTTTGATTTGGAAGAGTTCAAATGTGTCTTCAGGGGTAAATGAGTTAACCTCTTCACCACTGTAGACCAAAATGAACCCACCCAGATCAATTCATTGTAGAGTTTATTGAAGTTACATAGGGGTTAACGGGTTGACCTTTCCTAATGATGTCATTTTAAAGAACATAGCAAGGCATACACGTTTGGGTTTTGGAAGGAAAACAATCAAAATCGTAAAGTGTAAACTGTTTACCACAACACCTAGTGAGATCCAACACAATGGTTGGATTAAGTGGAATGTCAGAATAAACAGGTTTTATGTCAGATTAGAGAGGACGACAGAACACTCAGGGGTCATGATCAGATTATACAGGGTTTTTTCGCCTTTTAATTGGGATCCTCAATTATCTCTTACTCTTCCGAGGGCCATTGGACTCAATAGTGTCAGACACAACTCACTCAAAGTACTCGTTTGAAAACAGAAATTGCCGAACTGAACAACCTGTCTGAATCAGGTGTCAGAATCATCGACGTTCAGCACATCTGGATTAAATTACTTTAGTTTGTAAAGAGAAACAGTCGGGACTGTACAATGGGTCAAGCTAGGAGAGTGTAATCGACACCTCTGAGTTTGACTGCAGCAGGTTGTACCGAATATTATCATATGTGGTCATGTCATGAGGAAAAAAGCTTATTTCTCAACATTTAAAGCCAATGCAAGTACTGGAAACGAAGGCATTTTGATGCTCAATGATTAATGAAAACAAAATGGCATTAAACTCTGGAATTAAACCCTAATTGAAATTCCATCTCATTTGCAATCCAATTTTGACATGATAAAGCACAAACTTAAATTTCACAACTTTGCATGGTTTGTCTGAATCGTTCATCGGTAAAATTTGACCTCTGACTCAGCCACATCCTTGAAAAGGTCACGGGACTCATCTACCAAGTCTTTAGAAAAATTTTGTAAGTAATCCTGTATGTCGATCAAACACTGCCTCTCCAAGATCATCATGATTCCTCGAAGTTTTTCTCCGGGCGGGGTTTTGTCTTCCATCATTGTTCGTTTCTTTTGATGAGCATCGTACAATTTGTGATGTTTGTCAACAGACGGCGCCACTGTCACGTCGCCAATGTTGACATCCGGGCAGAAGATGAATGGTTTGAAGACGGAAACGGATGTGTTCGGAGTTCCGGTAAACCAATGACTATCGGGTGATTCTGACGCTGGGTCTGTTAACATCGAAACTTGACTTCCAACTGTTAAAATGTCGCCGGCAAAATTGATGCTGCCCTCTTCATCCCGAAGTATTTCTATCATATTCTCCAGTGTAAAGTTGCCTACCAAAAAAAATTCAGTGATGTAAAATTCATCAACAGATCAAATTGATACTTTGGTTTCATACATTTACATAGTTTGCTTCATCAGACTACAATTTTAGCTAAAAATGTTCACTATTTATAAAATTTGTCAATTAAAGCAATGACAAAACAAAGCCCCAATTTAAAAATTGGCTGTCAACCATAATCAGAAGTTTGAAAAAGACTTTTATAGACATTTTCAGTAAAATGTGTTGTCGTTTTTACACATTTAGGTGCAATGGATAAATCACAAGTTAGAACAAGCAAGTGTAAGCACTACCTGTCTATTAAAGGCCAGTGACAGGGTGATATTACTGGTTATCAAACACCAAACAAGTGACTTATTTTACTTCATCATCGCTATGTACCCCTGGTGAGCCCCAGACAGTGGGTTGGATATATATATATAACATGAATGGGACAGTGGGATCTTCTATAAATAGACCTAGCTAGAGCCTTTATTCACTTGTAAAATGCATTCACACTCACACCTGTCATGGGCCACTAATCATCAATGTAACAAAACACACACATTGGCAGAGTCAAGAGGTGTTCCGAATGAGATGCTTAATTAATTATTCAGAAAAACCTGAGGTGTTCCAAATAATTTTGATGACCAGTTCATACATAGCTGACACAGGTGTTCAAGGTAAGATGTGCATGTGTAAATGCAGGCATGATGAGCCGTGAGATGATTTGTTTATTCTAGTTTCCCCGGTCACATTTTCATACCCTGCAGAGCTCCTCTACAGTAACTTACAGGTAGTAGTATAGCCTCAAACACTAACTTTTACCCCACTTCTCCTCCCCGGGGGTGATATTCAATTTATGAATTTTATCCGGAACCTTACAGATACAGATACAGGAGCCACCATAACCGAGTTCTGAGTAACTGATACAGACGACCACAATGGCGCCTCAACATGATCATCTTCACTTTTGTGTCGTTATATTTCGGCATAATAAAATATTTAATGCCCTCATGTAGGGAAACACGAGTCTTTGTTTCACAGAAATTAATCATGTTTCACTCGTCAGGCTTCATCCTCATTAAACATGATTCATCCCAGAGAAACAAATAATCATGTTTCCCTACAACTATGGCAATAAATGTATAATGGATGATATGTCATTGAAAGTTTTTTCCGGAATATATACAACTTAGGACAGAAAAGTTCCAAGTAAAAATGCAGTTGGACGTTACTGGCCAGGTCAGTAGTATAGTGAATAGGGCTGCAACGATATATTGCGGTATTTTCAATATGGTACACAATATATTTTGTTGGAGGTTATATAAATTACGATACACCTATGATATTTCAAGATTTTGACATTTCTGAATTTAGTCTACTCATTATCTGTTCCAACATGGCAAGTGAAAGCTCCAGCTTGGTATGCACATCGAAAAGCAAAATATCTCTCTACATGTTACTCCACCGAGGCCAAAATGGCTTTAATGCAGATAATTAACTGTGTGAATCTTTTAAGTCATGCCCATTTTGGACCAAGTCTATTTCCAGTTGTAATATTGCCATTAAAAATTTGCAACATTTCTTTTCTCTTTGCATCTTCTGTTACTATATGTATCTTGATACGTATCGTAGCATCATGTTAACTCATTCACCCCTGAAATTTCACAATGAACTATTCCAACCTTTGATTTGGAAGAGTTCAAATGTGTGTTCAGGGAACAACGAGTTAATGTATCACTACAGCCCTTAAAGGTAAATAGGTCAATAACCTACCCTTGTCCACCACTTTTTCCATCAGTTCCTTCCCTCTTTTCACTCGGTTGCTTGGCAACTGGGTCTCTGCCAATGATAATCCAGTGAATTCGGCAGAAAATGCCTGAGTGAAATCTAATGCACCTTGTTCTGCCTTCCAGTATCCACCAGAGATGGCCGCCTCTGTGAGCCCCGGAGATGTTAGGTCTATTTCCGTGGAGATAGACAAGGCACTGGAGATGTTATGAATGCCAGCTGCAAGGTAAAGTCTATAAAATCAGGCCTTAGCCCATTCACCCCTAAAGTCACATTTGAACTTTACCAAATCAAAGACTGGGCAAGTCCAGTTTAGATACGTAGGGTGGAATGAGTTAAACAGATAGGACATGTGTTAAATCTAGTCAACTAACGGTTACACAGATGTTGTATCTAAAATATTTTTTCTTGGCTGTTATCAGATTTAACCACAGTGGAATCGATTTTTTTTTCTATATTCAACAACATGCCTGTGTACTGGATATAGTTACGATTCCACCAAGTGGTGTTCTACAATTCCTAACTCTTTACAATTCGGCCGCCCCGAGTTCCCAGTTCAGACGAATGACACTGTCCATAATGGAGACAAAGAGGTTGTCCATCAAAATATTGAAGGATGAACAAAGCAATCCAGATCCTGTAACCTGAGTTGATATAAAATTATAATATATGCAATAAATCAATCATTTACTGGGTACCTGATGTTATATTTATTTTAACTCATTCACCCCTGAAATTTCATAGTGAACTATTCCAACCTTTGAAATGGAAGAGTTAAAATGTGTATTCAGGGGTGCATGGGTTAATTAATCAAGTCATCAAAGCAGAAGGATGTTGCTTACATGTAAATTTCTTGGCGGCCCAGAACTGACCAGCAGTGTCCAGTACCCAAGCCTCAGTTGTGTCCACTACCAGGAAAGAGTTGTTGTACGTCCACTGGCCGAAGTTAACATCGTTGGTGTTTTGTCCACCCTGGCCGTGTTTCTCTAGTAGTGAGGTAATGACCTCCACTCCCTCCTTGGCAGACTTTGCCCTCTCCAGGGCCAGTCTGTAACAGTAACAAGGTTACAATCCAGAGTTCTGTCCCTTTATGTTAGAGAGTCCCAGAGTTCTGTCCCTTTATGTTAGAGAGTCCCAGAGTTCTGTCCCTTTATGTTAGAGAGTCCCAGAGTTCTGTCCCTTTATGTTAGAGAGTCCCAGAGTTCTGTCCCTTTATGTTAGAGAGTCCCAGAGTTCTGTCCCTTTATGTTAGAGAGTCCCAGAGTTCTGTCCCTTTATGTTAGAGAGTCCCAGAGTTCTGTCCCTTTATGTTAGAGAGTCCCAGAGTTCTGTCCCTTTATGTTAGAGAGTCCCAGAGTTCTGTCCCTTTATGTTAGAGAGTCCCAGAGTTCTGTCCCTTTATGTTAGAGAGTCCCAGAGTTCTGTCCCTTTATGTTAGAGAGTCCCATCACTTTTCTTTTGTATACAGGTCTTTAAAATTATTTTCCTGTTAATTTTGTTTTGTTTCCTCTTCACCCATATGAAGGCAATTATAAGTTAGTCATTTTTAGGGAATTGAAATATTTCAAAATTATTTCCAGTAATGCATCATGACCAATATAATACAACAGATTTCATGTTCCCCATAAGGTAATTGTACTGAAGAGGTCAGGGAATCGAAACCCGATGGCAGAGACGTTTTTGGAAAACAAAATATTATAATCACTTCTCTAGTTACACTGTTGCAGTAATAATTAAGCTAATCCTAACTACAATACTGACCAAGCAAAAGCAAAAGTGATCATTGAATGTTCAGAACGGACCATTTACAATAAACTTTTGACATTATATGCCCCATTCTATTTTAAAGTAATGGCAAGGTTGACATATGGAACTTTTTAAAGCCCTTTTGCACGTGTATCATCTTGTGAAATTTCAGAAGGCCTTCTGTAAGGGCCTTATCTGATGTATTTTTGACATTTTATATTCCTGGTTCTATTTTTAGCAAGTGACCTTGATATAGGAATTTTTTAAACCACTATTGCACATCTGCGTATAATCACAAAATATCATCATATGAAATTCTAGAAAGTTTGACCTTCTGTTAGGGCTTTATATGATGTATTTTTGACAGTATATTACCAATTATATTTTACATCTGCACATCACAGTGTATCACCATGTGAAATTTCAGAAATTTTGGCCATATGGATCATGAGATAATCTCCGGAAACAAAAGTGCTGACAGACAAACACTATGATTTGCGGGGCCCTAATAATAATCCTAACTGATTATAAAACAGTGTTGTACAGTCAGGGTTTAGGATGATTAGGTATTAACCCTTTCACCACTGTAGATAATAATGGAATTACCCAGATCAATCCATGGTAGAGTTTATTAAAGTTACATAGGGGTGAAAGGGTTAAAGACAATTAAGAAACCAATCTGTATGTACACCTATGAAATCATGCTGCATGGACCTTAAAGCCAGTTTTTGTCAATTGAAATAACATTTCATATTTAATTAAAATTATTAAACTAAAACAGTATTCATTACCTGACAAAGTCTACACCGATGAGTTTTTCCGCATGTTCTCCGAGGTGACAGAGTTTTGTCCACACAGAAGTACAGCCCACACATAGGCCTCTGTCGTTGGCGCCCATCTCCGCACCCCAGCACCACGAAGGCTTACTGAGGATGGCATTGTACGTCTCCTCTGCCTCGTCTATCTCCATAAACGTACACTACAATTACCAACAATTCAAACTTTATAGACAAACAATTTTAGGACTGAGTAACTCTGTATAAAACTTCTAATTTTATTGGTTTAAATATTTTCATTGCTTTTAATAATCCTGAAACAAATTTTCAGGGTTAAATTTTTCTTGATATGATTCAGTTGTCCTCAGTTAGTCTTTAAAAGACTAGAAAACATCTGTAAGACTTGAATACCTCCTTGAATTGACCCTGAGGCTGACCTATAAGTAGAGCAACAATGACCTTCACTTTGACAACCAGAAATATAAACTCATTCAAGGTTTTCTCATATTTGTATAATTTTTGATGAAAATCTTTTAAGAAATTAAGTTTGTAGAGCTATGGTAATGAACTTTTACGTAAAAGGGGGCAAAAGTAACAAGTCAGAGTTAAAAATATTTTCAGCATTCTTAATCAACAAGAAATGTTTGTTTCATTTCCTGTATAACACGAAATGTTAGTGGATATCCTATGTTAACAAACAGTAGACACGTATATCATTCAAATTCATTGTATTTATTTTCGTGGTTCAATAGCAACCACGAAAACCACCAATGTTTATACACAACGAACATTTCATGTTATACAGTATAATATTTGATGGTATCGGTGATGGGAGTGAACACCTGATAGGCGAACCCCAAATATCTCTTTGCTTAATTAGTCAACATAGCATAATACATATTTTTGAAATGTAAGAGCAAACATTTTCCTTTGGTGCTGCATTGGACAGGAACACTTACAGTTCAGCAGGTGACCTTGACCTTAGAAACTTTAACCTTATATTGCACAACTACATATCACAATGTATCACCATGTAAAACAGTGTTTTGGAATCAGAGATAAGGGCCGGCCCCTATTTAAACCCTTTTTTACAGTAACAGTGACCTTAACATTAGAAACATTTTAAACTCAAAAGATCGAAAAAATGTCTTTCAAATTCTAAGATAATGTCTATAAATCTCTGGAAACAAATGTGCTGATGGCTGAATGACTGACAGATGGGGGGACACTGTGGTTGCAATGGGGCACACACATCTCTGAAGCAGGGGCCGAAAATATAACAAAACATATAGATCAAGGTACAGGAGGTCATTTTAAATACTTTTACTTCAGATATGCAGATCATATCTGGTCTTGTTGTTGAATAGCTGGTGAAACAATGACCAGGTCAGGTAACTAGACAAAATATGGTCAGCTGACAAGTATGGGAGATGTAAACATGAATGTACATGGTAGCATATGTCTGAAATCATTATTGTTTAGATAGATCAACTGTTTATAAATAAATCCTATAAATGCACCCAAAATGACATCGTGACAGCAGACACGTAATTGATCTCGAACGTACCACACAACGCAACTACTCAAAGCTCCGACTAATGCGAGCTAACAGAGACATACATGAAAAGCTGAGTGTGCAGTGTTTGATTCAACGTCTGCTGTCGGTCGGAGATCAATATCATGGGTATGATCAAGTATAGCTTTACCTGTTAAGTCAGTATACAGGTAATCCGTCGACCGACTGTACATGTGCAGTCCATAGTTAAGAAGGTGTGTAATTTCTGCAGTTGATTGGATTCAAAAGGAATAAATCTTTCACCAGAATTTTTTTTTTATTTTCTCAAAGAGGCTAGAAAAATTGATATCAAATCAGCAAATTGACATTTTGGAAGCAATAAAATATTTTAATAGTGCATGAAACCATGGATGTAGCTGATATGGGGTGAAGAGGCAAACTAAACTGGGATGCAAAGGTAAAACTTTGAACAGGTCGAGGCCCTGGAAGGGAGGGGGGGTTAAAGTCCCCAGAAACTATAGAATTTTAAGCATGACAGTGCTGAAGGTCAGTAAGTTGCTAAAGATATCTCAAAAATAAATCCTGGGGAAGGGGGCAACAGCCATAGTGACCTCACTCAGGTTGTTCAGAAAAACCTGTCTAAGCTGACACCCTGTGTAATCTAACACACTTAAACCTTGACCAATGGGAAACCTACATATGAATACAAGAATTATCTGTTAAACACTTCTTAGGAAAGATAAATAACAAATCTGAACTTTCAAAATGCAAGATGGCTACCTGGCAGCCATCTTGATTTTCTGATCAGTCCCGAAATACAATGCACAACTATTGACCAAGGGAAACATACACATGAAATTTGCGAAAGACCTGTGAAGTACTTCCTGAGAAATTGCAATAACTTAAATCTTCAAAACATAAACTCTTCAAACCCAAATTGGCCTGCTTTACGTACACACGGACCACAGACCAATTTGGATGAGGGTGATTCGATCAGATCACAACCTGATGACAGTGGGCTAAACATGTAGAAAAATTTGAACTCTCCTTTGTTGGAGATACAAAATAAGAGTGCTGAAACTCTCTGCCTTATTGTATTGTTATTTTGATTATTACTGACCTTGACTTTGGAGCCGGGGGCATGTTGTGACCCAGTGCTGTACACCACCTCCTGAACCTCAGATGGAGGACGATCCGAGTTCTTTCCAAATATCACTGTTTTATTCTTCGTAACAGACGGGAAGGCCACAAATATGTCGGACATAGTGGTCACGTCTGAAAGTCAAAGAGGACGTGTTAAAATAGTTCTGTTGTAAATAAGAGTTTTATGGGTTCTCAATGTAGCAAAATACCTCATCAGGGATTGTGTTGAGATAACTTTCCCAACAATTCAGTGAGAGTGCTTTCTCATAATAATAAGGTTCTTATATATCGCTTCATCACAACTTAGTTCATTGGTCGTCTTAAAGCGGTTCACAAATTATTATCCATGAGTTATAGGGCCTTCGCAACCAGCCAATGTCTTTCTAAACTCACTGGGGAGCATACAGCCGGTGCTGCCATTTTGACGCTCACAGCTAGCATTCAACAATTTAAGCACTGCCCAACCACGTACTCATTTACAGCTGAGTAGACTGGAACAAGCGGAGTAAAGTATCTTGCTCAAAGATACAACACAGTGTCGTGATGTGACTCAAACCCTCAACCCTTCGGTCATGAGCCCGGCGTACTACCACTTAACAACTGTGCCTCCATACCTCTTCCTATTACTTCATCAAAAAAAACCAAAATGGAAAATCAAAAGTAAGGTAAAATGCATCCCATTTAAAACTTACCAGTAAAGTTAGAGTACTATTGGTTTGGTTTGGTTTATTTAACGTCCTAACAGCTAAGGTAATTTAAGAATGTGACTCCATGTATGTAATGCATGTGTGTACATTGTATGTGTGCCAGAGGCAGGGTATTTTGGTGTTTATGCCTCCTTGCAAAAGCGTGGATCTGATGCAGACTTTATAGTGCTACCTCCCTGAAATACCACGCCAAAGGCACCTACTGTAGCAAAGTATTTCACCCAGTCACATTAAACTGACAACGGGATAAAAATAGAAAATAAAGCAACTGAAAGGAGTTTTTGTGGCTCAGAGTTACTTCCCTTGACAAGGAATTCCTATTTCATTTTGATAGTGTGGATGAATAATCCTGAATACCAAATTTTTTAATGTGTATATATATAGGACTGGCAGTATATTAGCCCTGAGTTTGTTCATTTTTGTTTTCAACTATCCAGTACTCATATTTTACAAACAACTGTAATTCTGTAAAAAGCATCACTAGATGTGATTTCTATAACATATGTAGAAAATTATTTTAGCAAATGTGAAATATACCAGAAAAGATTAAAAAAAGAAGGTATCCTTTATGTTAACAGTGTGCTTTGCCTAGTAATAAGGTGGTCTCTTGTCAGCATTTTTGATATGTACAGTGCACAGGGTGGTTTTATTTACATAATGACCAGTTTTATGTGTGTGACAGGTTGTGGGGCCTTTGTAAAGAACTCGCACCCTAAAAACCTTTATTCGGACAGATTTAAATAATTTTTCAATTGAACTTATTGTAGTGTCTAATGAATTTTCATAAAACTTTTAAGATAATTTGTCAATTTGTTAAGTTATCTTTGACAAATAAATACATGTTCATGTTGTTTTAAGTAAACATTAATGAGAAATAGTATTAATACAGAATTGTTTTTATTAATCTGCTATAAATTATACAGGAGCAGCATTTTTGGCTCACAGCATTTACATTTTCATGCACATCCAGAAAACTCAACTCAAACCCAGGGCTTCACAGATTTACCCCACTCCCCACATATTTACGAAGCCCATTTAAATGAAACAGTGGCTGAGATATGTTGCAGAAACTTGTATAACACTATATTTTAGTAATTGGGGTCAAGGTCAATGGTGAAACTGAGGTCAATGTGACCTCATTTTAAGGTGCAACACACTGCCATCCTGTGATGTACCCTTAATACAGTGTTTGATGCCCATTTTGAAAAAGAGGCTGAGATAAGCGCCGGAAGCCATTATTTTAGTACTTGAGGTACAGGATAAAAGTCAAATCAAGGTTACAGTGACCACATTTTAGGATGCGTCGCATAGCCTACCAATGATGTACATATATACAAACTTTGATGCCCATGCATTCATGTTACAGTAGCAGAGAAGTGCTCAAGAAAGCACTGTGAGTCAGGTCAGACGGAGGGATGCACACACACACGGACAAAGAGAATAATACATGCATATATAACTTCACTTTAGTTGAGCAGGAGTAAAAAAAAGAAGCAAAAAAACCACAAGTAATCTATCAAGCCAATATAGATTTTAATTTTTATAATGTCATGAGTCCACCATAATGGAGGTAAAGCATAACATCAATCTAAATGTATTACATGTATTACCTGTGATGGATCTCCAGACCAATCAGTGTGAAAGGAGTGGGAGGGATCATTGGTAGAGGGGTGGGCGTTTGTTACAAATTGCTTAGGGTGGTCGGGGGAATATTGAATACAAAGCAATTTATAAGGATAAAAACAGCTACACGTGTATGAAAATTAGAAAATGACTTTTTAAAAACAAATGAGCCTGATATTTCTCAATTTTACTGTCTGTTGACATGGCAACTGTCTGAAGCATCGGTGCTGTTATGTTCACCATGGAAACAAAACCCTCAGAGACAGAAAACATCCAGCAAATCTGTGGGATATTACCAGGTATACTATGTTTTTCCGCACAGTATTAAAAACTTTTTTCAAAAACTGTGGTGTCTTGTTTTCAACTATTCTACCAGGATCAAATTTCCTCTGCCTTACTTAGCTAGACAAGCAACTCCAATTTTTTTGTATTTTTTTTTGGTTTTAAATTGATAAAATACAGTGACATAACATGAGTCACACGTAAAAAATGATTAATTTCGTCGTCATTAAGTCGTCATTTCATCCATGCTTAAAAATAACAATGCCCAGAGGGCTGCACCGAGCACATTGGCCACTATCTGGTGTATGCTTAGCCTACAGTAAACAGAATAGATAAGCTGAACCAGTTACAGGTTTGTCAAGCTTGTTTCCTTTTACAGTGTTAAATGAAGAACTCTGTACTTCTGATCGAGAATTTATATACCAAGCTGTTACGCTTATAACATATTTTATGCATACAAACTTGAAAGTAGGTCAAGGTAATTTTTATTTTAGATAAAAAAAAGGTCCATTTTCAGGTAACTTCTGGTCAAAAATCATTACCCTGGGCCTTCGGAAGCTGTAAAAAGAAAAAACAAAGACAGACAGACAGACAGACAGATAGTCAGACAGACAGACAACAGATGATGTACATGGTACATAACATACTATAACTATATAAGCTCACAGGCACTTCAGGCCAAGCAAGCTAAACAAGAGGCCTAGAGGGCCTGTATCGCTCACCTGGATATCTTAGCAATCATGACAAAATATTCTCCAAATGAGATCCAAGGGAATATGCCAGACCCCAAGGCCAATCTTTGTAGCATATCTAGATTTTTCATGCCTAGCAATTTATGTATGATTATGGGGTGGGGATCTCAACTGTTTCCAAGCTGTGACTCATAACTAGGTCCCTAGGATCAATTCTAATATCATGACTGCATTCGTCTCTTTTTGCCCAGTATTTGTATTTATAGTTTTGGGGTGGGGATCTCAATCTTTTCAAAGTTATGACCCAGAGGTTAAGTCTGCAAGGGTGGGGTAGACCCTGGGGTCAATTCTAATATCATGACTGCATTCGTCTCTTTATGCCCAACAATTGTATACATAGTTTTCATTTGTACAATTTTGAATCCCTGCCTCCCATGAATGCTTCCGACCAAATATGATCGATATCCATGGCATAGTTCTACAGAAGAAGTCGTTTGTAGCAATATAGCCAATTTGCCCCATTTTGGCCCCGCCCCTCAGCCCCCCGGGGGGTCAGCCCCACCATTTGTACAAATTTGAATCCCCACCACCTAGGGATGCTTCCAGTCAAATATGGCTGATATACATCTCTTAGTTCCAGAGAAGAAGTCGCTTAAAGCAATAAAGCCAAATTGCCCCCTTTTGGCCCTGCCTCTCAGCCGCCTGGGGGGTCAGCCCCACCATTTGTACAAATTTGAATCCCCACCACATAGGGATGCTTCCAGTCAAGTTTAGTTAAATTCATTCCAATTGATCGTTAAGAAGAAGAAGTCATTTAAAGATATTGTTGACATACGGATGGTCGCCACGGTATGGCATAAGCTCTGCACCTCGGTCCTTCGGACCAGGTGAGCTAAAAAATGTTGAACAAAGAAAATGTACTTCCAATCACATTTGTGATTGATTTATCTTGGTTGTTGAAATCGGTTATTGCAGTATATTTCTAAAATTTTAAAATTCATAACAGATTCTAAACACAAGAGATTTAAGTTTTAAATTATTTAAAAAAAATAACAACCTTAAGCTCACTATACTTTGATCAATTTTGTTGTCGGTGATTAAACGGACATCATTATCAATGTATGACCTATAGCTCGGGTAAAATGAACATTGTACCTCATTAGCTTAGGTGTAATCAAGCTTAAGGGTGGGACATTATCCTGTAGCGATAAATATAGTACTGTACCATATTTTATCAATAAATGGGACCCAGTGCAAGCTAGATCACTCGCAAGATCATCCTGCCATGCTCTTTATGAATGCTTTATACTAATAAAATCAAATTGGTATCATACACTGATTGTAAATAGTAGGGTTGTCACAATACGCCAACAGTATATCACAATATATTGCAATACAGAATGAATATATTGCGATACGTATCCCTATATACTGTCATAGGAAGGATGTGCTTAATTTTATAATTATCATATAATATGGATTACATAGATTTAAGATTTTTGTCAAACAAACCATCGATTACAAAATTTGAACTAATTCCCACCACTATTAAAAGCCTGTTTTATGCTAATTTGCAATGTTAAAACACCAAGCAGAATGAGATACATCAAAATGTTCATCTCTGTTTTGTGGTACAATACGATATACCTGTGTATTGCGATATACCTGTTTTCCGATATATTGTGACAGCCCTAGTAAATAGACATTTAAACCAAGTGAGTCCTTCAGGATCCCTGTCCCGCTGCAGGCAAAACACTAAAAAACTCCAATGAAGATTCTCATAAATATCTTATTATTCCCCCTTAATATGACATTTCAGATAAAGTACTGCTGATACGGTATCTCAGTTGGTTAAAGTGACTGTATCATGATCAGAGGTCCAAGGATCTGGCCTGTTCCATTTTCAGTCACAGCGACTGTTTGGATCCTTTTTCAAATGATTTTTGGTTATTTCATCCCATTCATTTTCCCTTTAGGTATACAGATCCTTAAAGGGTTGATGGTTCTTAAAGCTTCTCTAGACATTTTGTCGAAGGGAAATTATGTATATGTACAAATACATATTCTTAAATAATATGTGGACTGGATGGATCACCAATGACAAGGAAGCTGGGACTGCTTTCGCCATGAAATTTTCCTTTTATGTGCCTAACTAAATTCCTTTTTTAGAAGAAGGTATAGGGTCCCATTTGTCTATGGGGTCAAAAAGAATTTGTTGATGGTAAATCGGGTGAAACTGGAATGGGTGAATTACTGGTGATCAGTTAGCTGTGTTTGTTTTAGATACTGTATAGAGTTTGGAGGCCTCAGTTATCTTGTTGTGGTCAATGTACTTTCCACTTCTTGTTACACATATATCTATGTCTGTTTGTAAAACTGTACATATATATTCCACTTGTAATATTGTTTTTTTTTTAATTTTGAGACTGAAAAAAGTATCCAAAAGATTTTTTGATTTCTTTTTTTTTTTAAATATTTCAGAAAAAAATGAGACTTACTACTACCTTCCTGAATTATTTTCCTGATTAAAACTATTAAATCTGAAAAAGCGTTACGCTGGACACAGATCTATTGTCCTAACCTCCCGACAAACTTTGAGTATCAACAAGAGGCCCAATGGGCCTGCATCGCTCACCTGGTATTAATCTCACACTTATAATCTTAAAAGTGGACTAAAATACATCTACAGGCAGAATATCAGTGTTTGATTCATAAGAACCTATTAAAAGATTTAAACATATGACGCCTGTGACCTTGAATGTTGAACAAGGACATCAGGTTGAGAGTGGATCAAGGTCATTCATTTGAACAAACTTGGTAGTCCTTCATCCCAGCATGCTACAGGCCTAATTTCAGTACCCTGGGCCTTTTGGTTATTGAGAAGTTGTTTGAAGATTTTAAAACATTTGACCCCTTTGCCCTTGAAAGTTGGTCAAGGTCATACATTTTAACAAACTTGGTAACCCTTTATCCCAGCATGCTACATGCCCAATATCAGTACCCTGGACCTTTTGGTTATTGAGAAGAAGTTGCTTGAAGATTTTACAACATTTGACCCCTGTGACCTTGAATATAATTGAAGGTCATTCATCTGAACAAACTTGGTAGCCCTTCATCCCAGCATGCTACAGGCCTAATTTCAGTACCCTGGGCCTTTTGGTTATTGATAAGAAGTTGTTTGAAGATTTTAAAACATTTGACCCCTTTGACCTTGAAAGTTGGTCAAGGTCATTCAGTTGAACAAACTTGATAGTACTTCTTCCCAGCATGCTACATGCCCAATATCAGTGCCCTGGACCTTTTGGTTATTGAGAAGAAGTTGCTTGAAGATTTTACAACATTTGACCCCTGTGACCTTGAATATAATTTAAGGTCATTCATTTGAACAAACTTGGTAGCCCTTCACCAAAGCATGCTACTGTCCAAATAACACCTCCCTAGACAGTTTGGTTATCGAGAAGAAGATGTTTAAAGTTTTTAACATATTTGACCCCTGTGACCTTGAAAATGGGTGAAGGTCATTAATTTTAACAAACTTTGTAGCCCTTCATCCCGGTTTGCTTCTGGCCAAATATCATCACCCTAGGCCTTTTGGTTATTAAGGGGAAGTCGTTTTAAGTAAAATATTGACGCCGGATGCCGGACGGACCGACGGACGACGGACGCCGCACCACGGCATAAGCCCACTTGGCACTTCGTGCCAGGTGAGCTAAAAACTAACAAAGGGCCATAACTTTGCATTACAGAAGAGCATTAGACTCAATTTTAGTATGCAACACTCATCCATCCCAAGATGTTATCACATACAAAATTTGACAATTGTAGATGATAGGTTAAGTCAGATATGACCTGTACCACATGACACTGAACAAAGGGCAATAACTCTGTATAACTTTCGGCACATAACCCTATTTCAGTATGTGATATTCTGCCACCTTAAGCCTTGAGGTGCTTACGTACACAAAGTAGCAATCCATTGTAGGTTACAGTGTAAATGAGATATGCCCTGGATAAAGTGATATATTGATAAACTGGTGGATTAACCAACGGATGGAGTGCAAACCAATAATCCATTTCTGTAGTACCAGTCCACGACTGATGACCTGGTCGTCGTGCATCATTATTGTAAATGCTGTGCACAAATTAAGGAAATTTTCCAATTATGTCTTGTGAATGCATATAGTTAAATGAGGTGAAAGTTGTAAATATTTTGCTCACATCCTCTTCTTCACTTATCATAATAGCAGAATAGACTGCGCTGCAATGTAAAATTGTCAGGATTATTTGCATAAACGTTGGAAGGAGTCGTCAGCAAAATTGCATGGACAACAGAATAAAGTTACCTGACAAACACCAGTTAAATCGCCATTCACTTTTCAAACATCTAGAATAGACGGAGACTTTTCCAACATCTGTTATAGATTTTCTATCTCCAGTATTGTAAATAAGTATACTGTAAATAGGAAATCTGTTTGAACTTGTTTTCTATGGTTATACAAACGTAAGTTAAGTAGTTGCAATTTAGACGAGAATCCCAGGGTCATTAGTGGGCTATTAGCTCTATTATAAAAACACTAATGATCCGTAGTTAAAGACTACTTCTCATGCAGTGCCTATTGTGAAGGACCTAGGGAGTATAGCCATAGTCTATAAGGAAGTTATAGGTCATTGACCTTGACCTTGGAAGAATTCATCAGGTAATGAACAGGACACAGTATGAAGGGCAAAGTACTGTAAACTGATTTTTAGGTCAAAATGTGAAGGTCAAATTACTATATAACAATTATCAGGTCACTGTGTGAAGGTCAAATGACTTTATACTATTTTAAAATCACCAAGTCAAAGCTTGAAGGTCAACCTAATGTGTATCATAATCCCCAAACCACATTATGAAGGTCAACCTGCCTTGTATTTTATCACTAGGTCACATGTACCACGAGCCTCCACCACTTGGTCGCTGGTTCGAGACCTACGTGGGGCAGTTGCCAGGTAGGTTTTTCTCCGGTAACTCCGGCTTTCCTCCACCACCAAAACCTGGCACGTCCTTAAATGACCATTATAAGCAGCTGTTCATAGGACATAAAACACAAACAAACCAAACCAAAAGCATTTCAATAATAAGACCACAAGGAAGGGGAGACAACTTTTATACTATCACAGGTAATGAGCTGTAAGATTGTGTCTGTCATTAAACACAATAAATTGTACAAGCATAGATATCTAAACAGGTTGTGAATATTCTATCCTGTTTCATAACATTTTTGATGCTGATCTGTAAACGTCAGTTACTGGTCTTGAGCCAGGCATCTGATTCATGAATATTCTGATTGTCTGTAGTTATTTTCATAACTGCCAGTGGTGATTGTTGAACAGGCAATGCAAAGCTTTAAACAAGATCGTACACAGGCTGCATAATACTTTGGTTGTACAACAACCCTGTACACATTAAATGCACTTTTGGAAATTAGCATCAAGAGATATTTTTCCTACACCTAAAGATAAGCAAATTTTTAATACTATCACAGGTATTGAGCTGTAAGGTTGCGTCTGTCATTAAACACAATAAATTGTACATGCATAGAGATCTAAACAGGTTGTGAATATTCTATCCCATTTCATAACATTTTTGATGCTGATCTGTAAACGTCAGTTACTGGTCTTGAGCCAGGCATCTGATTCATGAATATTCTGATTGTCTGTAGTTATTTCCATAACTGCCAGTGGTGATTGTTGAACAGGCAATGCAAAGCTTTAAACAAGATCGTACACAGGCTGCATAATACTTTGGTTGTACAACAACCCTGTACACATTAAATGCACTTTTGGAAATTTGCATCAAGAGATATTTTTCCTACACCTAAAGATAAGCAAATTTTAATAGATTTATTACAAAGTTGCATGTCAAGAACTCTTATATCGGCAAAAGGGTTCTAATACAATTTATCGTCATATTTATAAGAAAATAAATGCCTGCAGATATTGGTTTAAAATTACTGTTTGAGAACTTCTTTAATACAATGAATCATCTTGCAAGGAAATACTATATTGGTTTAACTTATATATCGCTGATAAATTCCATTAATCGAACATTTACCTTTTCAGGTCCGAAATCAACCGTAATTGTCCTACTATCAACCTGGGGACTAAAACCATAAACTGAAGCAGGCTATGTTATCCTATCACAGGACAAAAAGGAACATTTCTGGCTTGGAGTTGCTTCCCTTTTCAAGGTATGCATCTTTTTTTTTTATATTGTGTATTTATAATTCCTGGACAGCAACAACGGTTGAGTTTTAATTCCTGTGGTGTTTTTTTTTGGTTTTTTGTTTACTAATACTCTGTAAAATGCATCACAATATGGAAGTATATATGTAAAACTTCTGTACAAGAGTTCTTAAACAAATTTTTCATGATGGTGACATCGGTAATAAGTGATAGTTACCTTCAGCCTTATGTTTCCTAAATCTTAAGGGTCTTCTGGTCCCCAATTTGTTAAAAACATCAGAAAAAGGGTTTGAACATAAATATCAATGTTTTGAGATTACTGTCTGGGAATAATGTTTAGGTATTGATATTACTAAACGGTTTGGTGGCTCCCTGCAGTGAGAGCTGAATTCAAGATACATCTCTCAAAAGCAAACTTGTGAGAAGACTCTTGAACAGCTTGGAATAAACTCTCATTGTGTTATGAGAAACTATAAGCCAGTCCGGAATACTCAATTTTATGTGCCTACACGGTGTCCTAAAAAACTTTTACAAGCCTTAACAAGATGTCCTCAAAAGACTTGCCTATGCCAACAGGATGTCCTAAAAGACTAGTAGTTTCATGTGCAAACAATGTTTTCTAGTGGGGCAGGTTTTAATTGTACACTAAGAATTACGGTCAGCTTCTAGCTTAGAGCTAGAGGATATTTCCCTTTAGCTCATGATCAGCAGTAGTGTCCCGCTAGGAACATGGAGATCGAGGGTTTGATCCCCGGTGGAAGCACACTTTCATCTTTCCTGTTACAAATGGTGTCCGTGGCCCTCCCTGTATAGTGACAGGGAATTAGAACCTGGGTTGTGGTGTTCGAGGGCGAACACATTTAAAAAGGGGGGAGTAGTGTGGCAGATTTTAATTGTACATAGGATTACGGTCGCCTTCTAGCTTCGAGCTAGAGGGAATTTCCCTTTAGCTCATAATCATCAGTAGAGCGTCCGACAAGGAACCTGGAGATCGAGGGTTCAATCCCTGGTGGAAGCATACTTTTCTCTTTCCTGTTACTCTAGAAAGACAAAGACAGTACACAGATCTCCAAAGGAGGACGCTGATTGAGAAATATGAGGATGTTGTTATCTATAAGAATATGAAATATCTTAGGGCTTGATTACTTATTTTATTTGGAACCTGACTTGAGGCCAAGAAATAAATTGTTTGTTTCTTGGTACTTTAACTTTTTGTGTCTATACCCTTAACTTTTATTGACAAATTTCTAGGAAGCATTGTTTTTGACAAAATCCCTCTCATGTATAAATACCTTCTAAAAAATGAAAAATATCATTTACAACTAATACAGGTACCTCCCTACCTATCTACCATATTTTGTTCAGACATTGAACAGGGAACAAACATGTTTTTTGTTTGACATGATATGAAGATGTAGAAAGGGGTGTCAGCTATACTGACCAAGATGTTGGGAGGGCTATGATTTTACTTGAGATGATATAAGGCTATAGACAGTTGAAAGGTGCTGCCTGCCAATGAGAGGTAGAAAATGTTAATGGTTAAATTGGAAATAGGTAGGGAAACTGATAGGTATACTATATAATGTATATCACTTCATGTATCTTCCAAAAATGACATGTTATATATAGCTTCTTGTGGATATGTGCTGTTCTAAATTTAGCAGACGATCAGCTGACCACTGAAACTCTCCCAATAGGTATGATCCATTTTTATAAATAGGCTACAATTATCTAAAATTATAGCAGGTGTGTAAGACATTTCTGTCAAGTGTAATTTTTGTTCAAATCTTTTTTTTTGCACCAGCAAGTTACTAGCATGTTAAACACAACAGCACTTGACAGGTCATTATTCATACATGTAAGGCCACACACTGTTCTACGCAACATAATACACACATATGTTTGATGGTTTGTAATCAAATTGGTATCTATAACGAGAGCTGAACATGTTTGTGTGTTAGCTGGCTTTAGTCTGTGCGTGTTGGGGAGGTATGTTTAGTTTAATTTGTCGACAATCATGTAATGTCTGTGTATTAATTCCTGAACCCCTCCCCTGGTTAGCTGCCAAGCTCGAACGAGTCATTTTATTGATTATTTTCTGCCTGTTCCTTCAATATAAAAATACCGATATGTCAGGACGTCTGTTTTATGTACAAACTAGGGTTTGCATATAAACAAATTAAGAGCAGGTACATTGTATAATCTCGACTACATACAATTATAATTAGCGTCAAAATTAGTGCTAGTGGCATAACGGAAGTATGTACAGCAAGCACAGGGCATGTAACTGGAATTCATTGAACAAAACGTACATGCACACATGTGTCTGCACACGCACGGCATACCACGGTAATATCTACAAAAAAAATCGACAATTACAAGTTCACATCGTTTGCCTTTTTACAACCTTTTGTCCAGCAAACATCTAATTTGGTAAAATATACATACCTGGGGAAAGCGCGAGGAGGATGTACGTTAGATCACCAGATGGGTCTTAGCCACACGTACAGCTGTGAGAAATTCTGACAGTCGAAGTATTACATCAGCATCCACTGCTCATGCGCAATAAAAGTCAATACTCCGCACGGGACGCTGACGTTTTCTGTTCCAGACGATGCTGTCGTTTCCTAGTCAGTGTTACCCCCTACACTCCCGCCCAACTCCAATTCAGTAACTATTTTTGAAATTTATGTATTAAAGCGAACTTGTCCAAACTGACTATCTCTGTCGCCCTTAATTGTTAGGGTTTGGTTTACTTTTGTTTAACGTTCTTTTAACAGCTAAGGTCATTTAAGGACGTGCCTCCATGTGTGTAGTGTATATGCGTGCTTGTGTGTGTGTATGTGGGAGACAGGGTATGTTGTTGTGCTTGCCGTAGCGCGGATCTGATGCCGACTCTATAGTGCTATCTCACTAAAAATAACATGCCTAAATTAAAGCACCCAGCACAGCATTCCGCCCGCTCACATTATACTGACAACGGGTGAACCAGTTGTTGCCATTCTTTATGAATTTAGTAGAAAGGCGAATCCAGCCCTCGAAATACTTTTATAAAATGCAATATTTCACATTGCATGTGGGGTAATTTCAAATACGAGATAGTGTGAATTTTTACCGTAGAATATACAAACTCAGTATTGTCGTTCCCACATTAGTTTAATTCCACGAAACCCGAACTGCTTTGCAATTGATTAAAAGCTTTTTTTAATTAATTGACTATTATGAATATATGTGTAAACTAGTTCGAAATGCGACAGAAAACCTCACCCGTCCCTAAAGACCACGACATTATCACTAATTAACTCCAGAAGACTTCTGATTGCTGATGACCTCAAGCGAGGGTATCCGACGATGATGACCTCAAGCGAGGGTATCCGGCGATGATGACCTCAAGCGAGGGTATCCGACGATGCTGACCAGGAAGAGTTTCCGTTTTTATTTCGGAGGTCCCGGGTTCGAATCCCAGTCCGGCCCCGGTATAAGGTCCCTCTCCGGATAGTACGTATTGTCTAGTCGGAAGATCACCTGTTTATATCGACGGATTTTCACTCTTACTTGTCCTTTGGCTGTTTTGAAAGGAGAATTAACGTCTCTAGATGATATCCCAAAAGATTGTATATCATCAGCATTTTTAGTCAATAACCCAGTCTTGTGTACCACTACAATGCCTATAATTAATAACCTGGTGTCCTCGTGTAACCCAACATCTTGTTATTACTCAGAATATTACATATTAGTTAGTGTTCTAAGGATAGACGAAGCGCGTGCATTCATTATTTTCAAACATACCAACGCGCTTCCGAAATCCTCCTCCGCAAATATAAACAAACATGTGAGCCGCGTGATTGATTGAAATAAACATCTGCAATAAATCACATTGGACAATAAACCATTCTTGTGCTTGCATTTTCAAAGAACCATGCACTCAAAATGCTGTTCCAAAAGCCTCCCTGTTGGGCAAGTATAAACATGTGACCCATGTGTGACTTGTTTTGGCGAATTTACATTGTCGAGTAAAGAAACACGCGTGTATTTACGTATCTAAACGTTTACACATCCACGTTAAATTACACAAGATAGGAACATCAGCTGCATGCGCGTGCAAAGAACAGCATATTATAATTTACATTTCAGTGTAGGTCATTTTGCCTTGAAGGCATTGACATAATAAACACAATAGGACGTTGGACTTTGTTTTCCTGTTGTACATTTGTATAATAGATATAATCAACATATGCGTGTATTTTATGCTGTGAATGTATATTACTTGTGATTCGAAAGTGTTAGAAAAATAATTAACTCAAGCAAAAAGACGATTTTTTCCCTTGCCTTTCTTCATCCTTATCATATATTCCACCGCAATACACGCACATATATCGATTATTCTAAAAGAGAATTACAATGTACTAAGATTTTTATCCCGATCCTGAACCACACAGTTGGGTATAGACGCAGTACCACAAATATTGACTTGTGACTTATATCATTTATTTGCCAATGTCGCTTCTACATGTATACAATATTTTATCTTTGAAATGCGCTAATTGTTTGCCTATTGAAATAAAACATGCATCTCTTTTTCAAAACCAACAGCTGCACTCAAAAATATTGTTCTATCTGCTTACACAAGACTGGCGGAGTTCCCTCCCGTTGAATGTAAACTGCGGTCGCCGCGCCAGAAGACCGGCTGCCAGCCCCTAAAGTTTTTGTGAAGAATTTCTCAACTACATATTACTACTAGCTTATCTCTCCCTAGTTTAGAGCTTAGAATCAGAAAACCAAGTGATAGAAAGAAAAATAAATCTAAATAATTCAATACTCTAGAGACGAGGGCCAGTCTATCACACCAGGTTCGCGAGCGTTTAGTATTATATGTATCCAAGCTTAGAACGGGATGTCTTCTCTTTCTCCTTAATTTGTCGTTTCAACTCCTGCTAACGTGGAAATCGTGTGATCCAATTTGTTTCTTCAAATAAATAACGGCGCTGGCATTGATAACATTGTTTGCATCGTGCGACCTGTTCATATTAGGAAATAGGCCGATTTTAAGCAATGCCTTCATTCGAGTGTATTTAAGTGCATTCGAGAACTTTTATCATCGAACGTATCAAAAGCGTACCTATATCACAATTACCGATTGTTCACATTTTTACATTGTATAGGTGAGAGGTACATGTTCGTGACGTTGGAAATGAACATGTATTCATGGAATGTATTCATGGAAACATGTATTCATTGATACCAGGAAGTAGTGTTTATGTAATTTCAAGTAGGTGAAGTTGTTTGGGTAGAAATCCAGTTTCCCCAATAGGACATATCTGTTATGTACTGTGTACAGACCTCCTAATTGCACACATATATTTTGGAATCACTTTCGTCTTTCTCTGGAAACAGTCCTGAATGAAATTCCTATCTATCTATCGATCGATCTATCTAGATATTCTGCAAAAACACCTCTTTCGAGTATTATGTGCAAACTCCTTTTGTTGTAGTCGTAGGGGATATAAATGTTGACCTCCTCACTGTTGACAATAACCATGCTCTTTTAGACATTATAAATGTTTGCCACCTGACTAACGTTATCGACAGACCGACTAGAATTGGACGCACGTGCAACACACTACTTGACCCTGTTCTTCTATCAGACACGTGTAATTTTACGATATCGGACGTAATTGACATAGACCGTGACATTTCGGACCACCAAGCAACATCTGTAGAACTGACTGTAGGGACAAATATTGTAAGAAATTATAAGAGGAAAAGTATTTGTTATATAGACGCAGATTACGAACGGTTTAACAATTTACTTTTATCAATTGACTGGACTGAACTTTTTTTAAGAATCTATTCTCCGGACGATATGTGTGACATTTTTACATCTAGATATTTAGAATTAGCTGACGAATGTATTCCTTCCAAATTTGTTACAATTAGACCTAATGACAAACCTTGGTTTAACTCTGACCTGAGACATGAAATAAGAAAAAGAAACAGACTTCTTCAAAAATATAAATCCAATCGCACTCCAAATAATTTAAACAACTTTAGGAAACAGCGAAATGGTGTAAACAATCTGAAAAAAGGACATAAGAATTATTTTATGAGGAAATAAACGGCCTTTTAGACAATTACAGTGATACAAATCCTAGAAACTTTTGAAAACTTGTCCGAAGGTTAATAAAATCATCCGACACATCTAATAGTATAATACCGCCGTTAAGGAGTGCGACTGGAAATATAGAAACGGATGACGACATTAAGACTAATGTACTAAACGATTACTTTGTTTCTATTTCTACTTTAGACGATAATAACATTGACGTACCTGTTATAGAATCTAGAACAGACTCGACCATTTCAGACATACCGTTAAATATTAATGACATTATCGATATTCTAAAGACATTAAAAATCGGTAAAGCTGTAGGAAAGGATACTATTAGTCATACCATGCTAAAGAATACCTCTAATTCAGTTGCTTATCCTCTTTCATTGATCTTTCGCTCATCTTTGGAAACTGGATCTTTTCCCAAACAATAGAAACATGCTGTAGTTATGCCGTTTTTTAAAAAAGGAGATAAACAAGACCCTTCAAATTATAGACCTATTGCACTACTAAGTACTATTGGTAAAGTTTTCGAAAGATTAGTCGCTAAATATTTACATAACTACCTTTTAGATAATTCTCTCATATATCAGTCAGGTTTTAAACCAGGTCATTCTACTGTACACCAGCTTATAGAAATATATCATATTATGTGCGACAATCTTGAAAAAACCCAGCCAACTTGTCTATTTTTTGTGATATTTCTAAGGCGTTTGATCGAGTGTGGCATAGGGGACTGAAAGTGAAACTAGCTATCTATGGAATATCGGGAAAGTTATTGGACTGGTTAATTAATTATGTTACTAATAGATCTCAACAAGTTTGTATTGGAAATAGTAGATCTTCTGTTAAGAGAACAAATGCAGGAGTACCTCAGGGTTCGGTTCTTGACCTATTGCTGTTTAAAATATATATTAATGACATAACAGATAATATAGAAAGTCTATCAAAACTTTTTGCTGATGACACCTCTCTTTTGCATTCGGATAAATCACCACAAGTAATTGAACAAAAAAATATATAATGATCTCGTAAATACCCAATTATGGGCAGATAAGTGGCTTGTTAAATTTAATCCTGCAAAAACAAAGGCTTTACTTATTTCTAATATTGAACTTGATCATCTCATTGAAATTAACTTTAATAATGTAAGTATTGAATTTATTGAAAATCATAAGCATCTGGGAGTATTCATCAATGCTAACTGTAAATGGACCTATCACATTGATAATATATGTAAAAAAGTAGTTAAACAATTAAGTGTCCTCCGTAAACACTGAATAAAATATATAGAACATTTATACTTCCTATTCTAGAATATCGTTGTGAACTTTGGGATGGTTTTCTATTACTGATTCAGACAAATTAAAAAAGCTACAACGTGAAGCTGGACGTATTGTCACTGGTTTACCGTCGTTTACTACATGTAGTAGGCAATCTATATATAATGAAACTGGATGGGATTCTCTAGCCCATCGGAGATCCCGTCGAAAACTTCAATTATTTTTT